AGTTAAAATTAGATAAGGCATCAAACGAGTACATTCTGATTGGTGATTTGAATGCGAAACATTTTAACTGGAATAACCCAGTCTCAAATAATAACAGCAGAGGCAGACAACTGAACCGGTGGGTCATGGATGCAGGTATGCTCTATGACACAAAAATAGTACATTCGCAAGTCCCTACTTTATATAAGGCGTGTAGCTTCATTGACATTGCACTGGCCAAAAACAGCTGCGCACTCACAGACCAATATCTACTTACGCAAAATTACGAAAGTGACCACAGGGCAATTGAGTTATCATTAATACTTAATAACCAATTAGTACCCCCCCCCCCCCCNTCCACCCCCAAAAAAAAAGGAAAATCTTCCCAGATACCTTTATAAAAAAACAAACATGAAAAAATTCAACCAAAATCTAGAAAAAAATAAAATCATTATCCCCGACAATAGAAACCTTAGCACCGCTGAAATAGATTTGTACATTAATAAACTACAAGCTTCAATATTTTTTTTTTTAGTTGATTACGACCCTTTCTGCTACTAGGCTAATTGGCCAACCTCACCGTTCTACCTAACGGTGGGTCTTGCGTGTATATGTAAGTGTGTGTGTTAGTGTATTAGCGTGTACCTATAGTCGATATGGTTGCGCCTCCCATACCACTGAGGTTACGCTTTGATAATGGTGTGACCCCCAACACCAGAGACCGCAGTTGAAGTGCACCGGCTTTTTTCCAAGGAAAATTTCCACGGATTACACCCAACGGTGCAAACCCCGCAGAAAAAATCCTCGGGAAAAAACCAGCCCACCGCCGAGATTTGAACCCCTGACTTCTCGGTTGAGAAGCAAGAGCTCAAGCCCCACAGCCACCGCGGCCTCCAAGCTTCAATATGCAAGGCAATACAAGCATCGACACCTACCTTTTCAATTAAAAAACATAATGATAGACCTCTAAATAAAAAAATTTTGCAACTCTACAAAGAGAAACATAGCATACAGTCAAAAATACACAGAGTGTGCAATAAAAAAGACAACATCTGTGGAACTTTACAAATCCCTAAAAAAAGATATGAAAAGTGTAAAACAAAAACTATACCATGAGTTCAGTAGAGATGCAAGTGATAATTGGGCGGACCTCATAAGAAGCATAAATTATAAAGAATCAGCTAATTTTTTCCCTATAATTAACAAATTATTCAAAAGAAAAAACAATAACGAGGAGTTAAATAATATAATTATTAGAAACAAATATGCTGATTTACTAGACACATGCGATATAAATAAGGATCTCATGATAAAATTGTTGCGCCTTTTTGGTAAATGTCAATATAAATAAAACAGCGATAAAGGCGGTGCCAAAGTCAAATTTATTAAAACAGGCGGTGGGCGAGAGTGCGTAATCACACACTACCTCGTCACCTAGTCGACGTTTCGCCGACCACTTTGTCGGCCTCTTCAGGACTGTTGTGTATGTTGTGTATTGTTGTGTTGTGTGACTGTTGTGTGACTGTCAGTCACATACACAACAGTCCTGAAGAGGCCGACAAAGTGGTCGGCGAAACGTCGACTAGGTGACGAGGTAGTGTGTGATTACGCACTCTCGCCCACCGCCTGTTTTAATAAATTTGACTTTGGCACCGCCTTTATCGCTGTTTTATTTATATTGACATAAATAAGGATACCCTGATCACGAACGAGAACGGCGACTTTACCATTACTGACCCATTATCAATAGATAAGGTGATAGGTGAATTTTTTCACAAAATAAACACCAAAGACGCGGACTCCAATTCACCACTAGAATCATTGATCATTAATAAAGTCCTCAACAAACGCGATGAATTATCCGTACTACCACCAATAACGACCTTCAATGATAATAACAGAGTTACCTCCCCTACTCTCCCACCTGATATTGACAACACCTATTTGCTAATATGTAAGCACAGTCAAAAAAAGAATTCAGTATATGAGTAACAAAACCTCCGCTGGATGGGATGAAATCCCAAACGTAATCCTCAAAAGATTGAACGTCCAATATATCAGTAATTACACTTTAATATTCAACAATTGTTTGAATATTAGCTACTTCCCTGAAGGATGAAAAAAGGCGAAACCGCGTGTTGTTTACGTTTTGAGTTCGCTGCCTATTTTCGGTGAAATGTGCACGTCGACCGAGTTCGCAAACCGTGATCGCGTGCGGCGACATCCAGCTCTGATATTTTTATTAGTTACTATAAACGCGCTTCATGTATTTATCATTTTAGATAATTTTTTTAACTAACATTAAAATAGTTAACGCGACTACAACAGAACCTCGTGGGTGGTGTGTAAGACTACCGCTAATCAAAAATTTTTTAGCTTAGTAACTTGTCAAAAAAAAAAAATAAAATAAAAAAAAAACAATAATTTGCCGGGAATCGATCCCGGGAGCATAAGATAACGAGGCGCTCGCCCTACTGACTGCGCCACGCTAATATTTGGAATACAGGAGTCCCTCGTTATACGCGGGGGTTACGTTCCTCAAAAGTACCGCGTATAACAAAACCGCGGATAATAAGATCTTGCTCTTATGGGAAAGAGAGGGTTACGTTCCTCAACCTCGAGAAAGCACAGTTTATATGTACATTTTACCTACAAATAAACGAATTTGTTGAGTAGTTTATCTATTTATACATGTTTATTTATATTTACAACACATATGGTTGATTCTCCTGAAATCTGCTTTTTGCATGTCTTTATGCCATATTCTTAAACTAGTGAAGATGAGCCAAAACTGGCTCGGTCATTCATTCAATATTGTTGTATTCTTCATGATAGGGCATAAATATTTCAATTTTTTAGGGTCAGTTAAATTTGCCGTGAAGATATACATGCCAAATGTCACCTCCGTGGCATGTCTACATCTCAAAATCAACTCTATTTGCATGTACCATGCATTCTCATTAGCACCTGACCCTATAATAACTATGAGACCAGCTTCTATACATCCAGAGTAAAGTTTAAGTCTATTATAGGGCTTTGAAAAATGTTTTAAAAAAATTTCCCACGCAATTGAAAAATGTCTCGGATTTTAATCATGCTTCTGAATAATTTCAAACATACCGCCTGCTTTGGGTCGCTAACTCATTTTTGATGTCGCTAGATACGTAAATGTCAAGTATTTTAGCCCAGCTTTCGATTGGTGTAGGTTGCGGGTTCAAATTTTACATTTTATCGATGCTGCGATAATTATTCTATTGAAAAATTCACGTGTGTCAAAAAAACGGTCACCTCCGTGGACATGAATATCTCGAGCTATGATCATTCTTTTTAACCGCTCGCCCCGTCAAAAGACTCGTTTTTCATGACCAAATTTCGGGTTGTGCGGAAAATTTTGTGCGTTTCTTATTTTTCTTACATAGTTGATCAAAGCAGCGATTTGTCACCTCCGTGTGTGTCACCTCCGTAACCGAAAATAGTCGATTTTAAGCATAAAATCGGACATAGTTTTCGTAAAACGAAATCTCAAAGCCACAGATTCAATAATTATTCATATTTTATGGTTTAAAAAAGGGTAAACTAGTTCGCGCCGTTCAATATGACAAAAAAATTTTCACCATTTTTTCGTTTTCCATACCCGAAAAAGCAGATTTCGGGAGAATCAACCATATATGCAATTCTATGTTTAATTTTTAAAGTAATCGGTTAATTTTTTTCTGTTTTGCTCGTCTCAAAATATCTTTGTGCATTTCTTCATAAATTTGTGCAGCTAAATCATAGTAGTGTTTGAAAGTCGAGCTACGCGTCATTATTGGATCACCAGTCATTGCTAATTCACCTGCTCCAATAACTAGAACCATAACTTCGACAATCAGTTTTGAATCAAAAATCGGTTCCGGTGCATCATCAGTCTGATCTGCCAGTGGTTTTTGAGGCAGTTTTCGACGGAGTTTTAGATGAAGCCATACTTAAATAAATTTATAAATTTTCAACAAATTTAGGTTAATTGACAATTTCGATTTACGCGTCTACACTAACCAAATTCAAACTGAATATGGATATGTCCGAGAAAAAAATCACGATCTTCGACCTGCGGATACGAAGGGATGGGCGCAAATCGACTAACCGCGGATAACGAATTCCGTGGATAATAAACCCACGTATAACGAGGGACTCCTGTACCAATAATCGATGTTATATAAAAGCAGTTGCCCGGTCCTCCCGCTTTGGGTTACAGTCACCGCTTCTCCTACTCACTCCCGCTACGCCGCGCGGCCCAGCGTTCAAACCTCGCTCGGCCAATGACGCGACGGCGCTACTGCGCACGCCCGAGAAATCCGCTCGGTCTGGCAACCTTGCCACGATATTTATGTTAAATGTGAAAAAATTGTAAATTTTATTAGCAAATTGACGTACAATCCTATAAAAAAATTTTTATCATAGTGAAGTTTTATGTAATTCTTAGCATTATATAGCTGAGATAAACGAAAGCTACGAATAAAATAAGCTACTATAATAATTGATCAGAATTATTTGTAATTCTCGTTTTTCTTTCTTATTAATGCATTGAATTTAATGCAATTCGAACAATATGTTTACGAGTGTATTATAAAAATGTGCTTCAAGTCAAAACTTGGCGAATGACATTCCCATTCTTGCGTTATCGACCGATTGAATGTAGAGGGCCCTTAATAGCGATTCAATTTAATGCATTTCAATCGCATAATTATTTATTCAAATAAATTATACTTGCTTGGAATGATAATTTGAATTTATTTTTAATGATCCGCAGTCAAAATGATTAAAAAGTTGGAACTTTCTATAACTTTTTAAAATAAATTATTTTACATTTTTAAGTGCTTTTATTTAATAATTCTTATCATAGCTATCATAAATAACCATAAAAATGAAGTCCGCAAATAAACGGACATTTTTCAAAACACAATGCAAAACAAAATGTGAAAAAAAATTTTATAGTCAACGCGTGAAAATATAATTAATTGCAGCTGCCTTAGCATTGACTGTTGGGTTTGAACTTTCTAACCAAACATAATTAGTTATTCTGTACCAGAAATCTCATTTATTTGATTTTTTCTTTGTTCTTTCTTTCTTATATTTCACAAATTAAAATAAAAAATTCCTATTAAGTGTTATGCAGTTTTTTATAAATTACTGTGTGTGAAATCCAATCAAATGGCTTTTCAAACTATACGTCAAGAATATATCCATATGCCTGTTGTTACCAGAGCCTACACTACAGCTTGCATAGTAACTTCTTTAGCAGTAGTAAGCAATTTTACAACTTAAACATTCAATTATTATTTTTTCATCATCGTATATTACTTTATACATTTTATTATTGATACATTGAACATGCAGTTCACTCAAAGTTTGAATATGTTGACATTGAGAACTGAATAAAATAAAGTTGAAATACATGATTTTGTCAACAAAGAACTTTACTTATGTCTAATTTTACATAAAATGTATAAATAATCTCATTTTTATCTAAAGAAAATTTTTTCAAAAAAAGGGAAGTTACAAGATCTTTTTAAACACATTTATACTCAATTGTTAGAAAAAATTTTAAAGTAAATAAAACAGCAATGTTGTACAACAGAATTCTAGTTCACGACAATTTTAAAATTATTATTAACACAGATTACTTCTAATTACTTGAAACAGTGATATAGTTAATTCACGAATCTATTGTTATGTTTTTGAAAAAATTTCAGGACGTCAATTTCAAAGAAGCAAATTGTTGCAACATAAAGTTTTTATTTGATTATGTAGGTAAATAATAATTTAACATCATCATGACAAGTCTTTTTAACTTTGATTCCTGAAATTCTTATTAAACTCAATTTTTTTCAAAATAATAAGTTACAACATGCACAATGCCTTTAGTCATTTGATTAAAAACTTTTCCTATTCAAAAAACCATTTCATCTGCTACCAAAGAAAATTAAATTATTAATGAAAAAGGAAAAAAGTTATGTATCTGAAAATTATTCAATTACTTGAATGGCATGAAGTTCGTACAACCCTTTGAATATTCAGAAGTTCAATTTGTGTTATAAAATTTATGATTAATATTTTTAACATTACATTAAATACATATTACCCTAGTGCTATTTTTCTTATATTACATATTGAAATTTCTTATATTAAATAAAATTCTATATGTAATATAAGAATAAAATTTCTTATACTACATATAGAAAGATAGCACATAATAGCATAGATAGCATATAATTATACATATGTTAAATACATATTACTCTAGTGCTATGTTTCTAATATTACATGAGATTGAACATTTATAATTATTTTACCCAAGAAAAGGGCAAGTATAGATCAAACTGAGTTTTTGTAAATTTAGAGATAGTTATTCTGTGAAAGAACTTGTGGTATCCCATAAAATTTTGAACTATTGTTCTCCTTTATAATTTAATCTATTTTTGTGTTTTTTTAACACTTTTATTACATTTTCCAATGGCGATGGATTAAAAAAAATTTTTATTTTACCAATGCTTATTAATATAGAGATTTAATCAATGACTCAAATAATAGTGCTAAAATATATTAATAGATACTTTTTTGAATGTAATATAAAAATTGAATATTCTCAAATTTGAAAATCAATAATGATAACAGAATCAAATTATAAATTATTCCATGAAATTTTAAATAGCCAAATAATGTTGTTTTATCAGATATAAAAAATTTCTTTTAAAAATTAACATTTTTTTTATATCATATCAACTTTTTAAAAAATGTGTAAGGAATATATATATTATCATAATAAAGTTATTAAATTATAACTATCAGATAATGTCAAATTATAAATACTCTGTTGAGCAATTTTTATTTTTTTTTCCAGCAGTTGGATGTAGTTTCGCCATTTCAATTGTATTTTAATCCAATTTTGATTGGAAAACAATACCAGGTAGATATAAATATAGATTTTTTAGTAAATATTTATAAACAGACATTAATTATGTTCTCTTTATATTTATAGATATGGCGGCTTTTTACAACATTTTTATTTTTCGGAACATTTGGATTCAATTTTTTTTTCAATATGATATTTACATATAGATATTGTCGAATGTTAGAAGAGGGATCTTTTCGTGGAAAAACAGCTGATTTTGTAATGATGTTTTTATTTGGAGGTATATGTATGATTGTATCCTTTTTTAAACTATCTTTATCAAAAATATCAAAAAGATATACATTAATATATTTTACTCTTTATATAAATGAAATTTTTTTACATCAGATTTATACCAAAATTAGCAAAAAGAACCCAGATTTTAATTTGAAATAAATTAGCCCTGGTATAAATTTTCTGTAGAATCCTGGGAATTTTTTTAGAAGGGGATTTACACCTTCTAGTATATAAATTTGAATTAAGATAATTCATTACAGGATAAATTGGTTAATCGGTATGAATTAGTTTTACACAATGACTAATTCAACAAAAAATTTTATGTAGGCTTACATAAAATACTATTAATAAACTCAAGTTTTAGATTGATCTTCTAAACTCTCTTTTATCATTTATTACAATTGTTCTTAAGTAAAAACATAATAGAATTTTATTCAACATTTTTGCCAATATTTTTTTTTACAATTTAAATGATTTGCAGTAATCAAAAAAATTGTCAAGGTTTTCTTTGAGAATTTTGGATGAAATAAAATGAGTTATATTCATGTATCGAAATTCTGTTTCTGTTGATGATAATGAGTTAATGTTAAGACCATTTTTACTATTGCATCATCATTGCGTACATTCATAAACTATTTCTTCATAGTACTTTATGAATCAAAGGAGGTATAAACGTGAAGTTAGCGTAGTACTATCACATCTATTTAAGGAGGTTCCCTCGGGTAACACGCTAGTCAATTGAGAGTTCGCGCAGTAACACGGGTTAAGGTAGGTGGCTTGTCGTCTGCTAGCCCTAAAACGAGCCGAAAAAGTCGTGTTTTCGCATCTTTTATTAAAAAAATATTGAAAAAACGGCAGGCTACCTCTACTTTGAGACACGGTTTATGAAAGATAAGAACTTTCTCTACAATTTGTATATAATCATTCCCCTGCGAACTTTGATTTCTTTTCATAAATTGTAAATGTAGCTCAAATTTTCATGAATTCCTATGTTGCCCATGTTAATTTTCGAAACTTTGATCGCGTTTTTTTCGAGATTTTGACTGGCTTGGGCATATGTGAGCTATACCATTGGATTCGGGAGGTCAAAATCTATCAATATTGATGTATGTACTTCTTGCGAACTTTGCAAGGGAACCTCCTTAATAATGATTTGTCAAGGGTTGATCGCGGCGCATTAAGTTTCACAGCCGCTTGACGTTGATTTAGTGATGAATATTAACTATCGTAATTAATTAATAAATTAAGCTTTTCTTTGATTGTTAAATCTTATCTTTAATTCACGGTGAAACTTTTTTGTGTGTTGAGCTGTTAATAGATTGAGTCTGAATTCAATACTAATGTAAATGTTTACGTTATTAGATAATTGTTCATGATTTTGGAACTATGTTTGGCCATTTTAAACGGCTGGCCATGTTAACTGTGAACGTAGGACAAGTAAATGTTTGTCTTTGGCCTTTTGAGAAAAGAACATCTAGATTGACGAGTCAAAAAAAATGGCAAAAAATTATAAAATCTAATTCTGCAGAATTGTAAAAAAAAAAATAGACCGAGTGACTACTGGTTATAAATAATGATAATTTTTCATAAAATTAAAAAAAATCAAGAATTCAATTATGAAATTGTTTCCTTATCATAAATTTAGATTTTTGCGATGTTTGTGAATCTTCTCTTTTTAGGGCATGCGTTCACAATTATGTTAGTTTATGTGTGGTCCAGAAGAAATCCACTAATCAGAATGAATTTTTTTGGGCTACTAAATTTTCAGGTATGATAATTTTAAGTTTCTGTGATGCTTTCAAATTTTATAAAAATTGGAACGAAAATCAAGATATTTTTGGCTTTTCGTTTGAAACAAGATAATTTTTATATAACAACAGTTAATTTCTTCATCAAATTATTAATTTCTTAGGCACCATATCTACCATGGGTACTACTAGGATTTTCAATATTGCTTGGAAATGCAGTTTGGGTTGATCTTATTGGAATAGCTGTCGGGCACATGTATTATTTTGCTGAAGATGTATTTCCGCTTCAAAGTGGAGGCTGGCGAATACTTAAGACGCCAAACTTCTTGTGAGTGTAGTATTTATGCGTTTCTTTAAAGTACATTATAAAAAATGAAAAATATGCAGCGTAACCGAATTTTAATAAATATTGAATGAATAGTTACGATCATTTTCATTAAGTATGTATCAGCGGTACAGTTTAGTCAAAATCATCTGTGTATTCAGAAAAAATCTGAAAAAAATCCATACGCTTTCCTTGACAAAATCCAAGACATTTTTGTTTCTTTCGATTTGTTCGTGAAGTTCATACTCATTGATATAAAAATCGCAATTATTCATTGTTTTCAATGTTTTAAATTTGAACTTGTAAGAGTACTTTTTTGTTGAAAATGATCACTAAAACGTTAATAATGGGCTTCAGGTCGGAACGTTGAAATTTTTGTTTTTGCAATGTTTTCAAATTAACGCTTCTTAACAACTGCATGGTAAAAGACATCAAGTTTTGAAGACAACACTCAGAATAGTATGATACATCTTCTATTAGCTATCTATACGCTATCCAAAAAAAATTCTTATGGTCACCCGTATGTGTTACTGTTAGAAAACCCATGAGATTCCCATATGAATTCTTATAAAAGTTCTCCGGACAAATTCCTATATGGGAAACCATGGATGTTCCCACTTGAGGTTAATATATGAAGTTTCGTTTTGAATAACATCGATTTCCATATAGATTTCCAAATTCATACAGAAACTTTAGCACTGTGCTAAGTTCACATTGATGCCCCCTTTTCCGAGTTGTAAGTCGCACTTTCTGGTACCGCAGAGTGAGTGAGACTTATGCCACAGAAAAGTGTGCCTTAAAAGTGAACTTAAGACATGCAGTGCTTTAAAACATTAAATACTAGAGCTTCATACATCAACTTACAGCTTATTATCATGAAACACACTTTAAAAACCCATATAATCTTATGACAGTTAATACAAAATAACCATAAGCGGATGCAGAATTTGAAAAATAAATGGTACCACTTAGTATCTTTAGTACTTAGTATCACTTTCTTAACAAATATATTTCTGTGTATTTGTGCATGTTATACTATAGTTTTAAAAGGAATGAGGTTATTTTGTTTATTAAATAAATTACTTTTTACTTATCTGATAAAGTTCCTGAAAATTACTGCTGCAATACTGTTTTGCTGTTACTGCTTCTTCTCCCAGGTGAAAATGGTATGTTAGATCTGACTGCAGATCTGATATCAGTTCTGGTATAAGTTCTGGTGAACGCACATCAGATCTTATGCCAGATCTTATATCAGAATTTGCTTACGATAATCGACATACAGAACTTACATCAGATCTTATGTCAGATCTGAAACGACTGTATCGCTACTGATTGTTTAAACAATACATTAATTAATAATTAAAATTTAACAATAAATTTAGTTGTATTTTAATAATCATATATATATAATATCTTTAAGAATAATTCCTCCAATGTTTGGGTTTTTGATCAAGTGAATTTAAATTAATTCGATAACTTTTATTGTTTAAGATTTGTTATTAAATTTTAATTATTCATAAACTTATTGTTTAAATAATTAAAGGCGTCACAGTCACTTCAGATCTGACATTAGATCTGATATCAGATCTGATGTAAGTTCTGATGTCGATTATCGTATGCAAATTCTGATATAAGATCTGGCATAAGATCTAATGGGCGTTCACCAGAACTTATAACAGATCTGACATCTGATCTGGAGTCAGATTTGATATACAAAAAAAATTCTTACAATTTAAAGCCGTTCAATTATGTATAAAAAGTTTCATCTAGTTATAGCTTTTTTTCCATTTAAAATAAAGCTATGGGTCGATTTCCATTGAAAAAAATTGTAGGATTTAGAATGCCTATAGTTTTCAAACTAAATTTTTTTGTTAAGCTTATAGCCAAAAATCTGTAGCTAAAAAAGCGATTTTCGTAATTTCAAGGCCCCTCAATCCTTAAAATTACCATCGATTCAGATGTTGCATTTTATAGTATACTAGCAACTTTCAGGCGCGCTTCGAGCGCATAAATTTTTCAGTACGGTTTTAAGAAAGTTACTATTTTGACCGTAGGTGTCACTTTATCGCATTTCGTCTCGAGGCATAAGTAACTCGACCAATCACAGGCCGAATAGATTGGCTTCACTTTCAGGTCCATCATTATTTTAAGTGAGGACTAACTATTCCTAGCATTATCAGTTCTAACTAATTCCAGTCTTAAACTACGCTTACGATTTTTTTTCATTTATAAAATCCAATTTGATTGGACTATAAAAATCTGGTCAAGTTACCAGTAAGTCATAAAATTAAAAAAGGCTGTTACTAAATTAACATTTATGTCATCTTTTTTGAAATTCAAATAGCATTTTTTGTACCGAGAATTAAAAAAAAATTGGGGTAGCATTAATACTGTCCTGTAAAATGTAGGTTTCGTATCCTTATCGTAGGATCCTGCGAAATTTTTTCTAACGGCTCATTTTGTTTACTGTTATTTTTTGAAATATATGTGAAACAATGATTATTTTTACATTTCAGAAAATCCATTTTCAATCCTCATGATTCGGATTTAGATTACGTGCCATTGCAAGAAGATCGACCTGGTGGTTTTGATTGGGAACAAAACATTCATCTATAACATTTCAGTGTATCCACAGCAATTGTTTCTCAGACTTATACATGTATGAGTATGTTTCCATTTTTTTTTATTGAAAATGGAAATTCTTAGTTATTTTACAATTATTGTTAAATGTTTTTGAGAATATAAATTATTTCAATTTTCACATCACTTGATAATTAATGCCAAATCATAATTTTTACGTCTTTTTTCTTAGCTTCTTGTTATTGTATAATATGATTCAAACGGCGTATGCTTTCAAAGGCGATTAATTAGTATTAAGATGTATTATTGTACTAGACTTAAAAAAGGTATAACTTACTGGATAAGTTCTACACTAAATTATGATAACGACTTATGATTATAAGGTACGAATAGTTTTAAGGGGATAGACCAGTATCAAATCTTGTAAATTAAAAAATATGAAAATGAAATTATGAAATTGAATTTTTTGTTTTTGATATAAAATTATGTTTTTCAAGTTTTTTTACATCAGAAAACATGTCTCTAGTACTTTTTATTATTTAAATTAGTCCAGTGTGCACCCATACTGACTTATGATTCCAAAGCACTGTGCCACATGGGTCTGAATGAAATCCTATGTGGAGGAGAATATTATGACGAAAATTTTAATAGTTCTATGATCAATATTAATCAAAGATTTCATTCAGATCCATGCGGCACAGTGCTTTGGAATCATAAGTTAGTATGGGTGAGCACTGGACTAATTTAAATAATAAAAAGTACTAGAGACGACATGTTTTCTGATGTAAAAAAACTTGAAAAAACGTGATTTTACATCAAAAACAGAAAATTAAATTTCATAATTTCATTTTCATGTTTTTCAATACAGGATTTAACACAGGTGCATCCCCTTAAACAAAATAAAATATTTCCTAACACGCAAATTTTTCCAAAAAGATGTTATTTCAAGTTTGAAAAAACTTTTACTACTTTACCTATAATCATATCAAAGGTTACATTTAATGGTAATAAATGACTCCTATAAAATAGTTGTACTGCATGAAAAATTTATTGATATATTACTCGAATTTACTTTGTCACTATAAATTTATCTTCAATTAATATAATAATCGTATGGACTTTTCTCATTGTGTAAATAATTTACAATAATATGTAGATTTAAGTAAGTCTATAGTTTGCTGATTATATCAACTCGTCGAAAAACTCTTCATTTAAAATTATTCATATGCATTAATTCATTTCTGATACAACTTTATGTGACACCTGGAAATTTTTTTTAGCTGTTTCTCATTGTGTAACATAAGTTGTTCATTCATGAAAGTGATATGGTGTGAGGTTTGCGCTCGAGTGCAGTGAATGTGATAAGTACGTCAAAGTTATATAAGTAAATAAGAACATTATGAAATTGAATTGTAATAAAAAATTTTAATTCTAGATTTTTATTTCGCCGACTTCATAATGTCTAATATAAAGGTGAATCAGTACGTATTGGGAAGTAATGTTAGCGTCTGGAGGGGGCCGAAATCCAATATGTCTGCCCAAACCGGGGAAATTAACATGAGAGTATATGGGAGGTTCGCAGTTTTTTGCTCATATTTCAATAAATATGCTAATATTTGAAAAAATAAGGTCACCAATTGATTCATCGTCAAGTGTTACATTAGGAATGATTGTAGACTCAAAAAATATTAGTGTAAAATTATTCGCAATATCGAGTTGAACAGAGAAAAATCACGTTGGAGTGAAGCGAGAGCCCCGTTTCATAGTCGAATTTCTCTGTTCAACTCGATATAACACTTTTTGAGTCGACAGTTATTCTTAATGTAACATATGACGAGGAATTGATTGGTGGCCTTATTTTTCCAAAAATATGCATATTTATTGAAATATGGGCGAAAAACCGTGAACCTCCCATATTCTCCTATGTTAATTTACCCGGTTCGGGCAGCCACGTTAGATCTGCTGCCCCCTTCAGGCGCTAACATTACTTCTCAATTTAGTACTGTAACAATATATTATAGCACTGTAATCTAAAAATCGCAACTTTTCGGTCAATTAAAGGCTTGTGTACTATAAAAGTACTTTATGAAACGGGTGTGGATATGCTTTTTCTGCAAAACCAGTGATTTCAACACGAGCCGAGGGCGAATAATGAGTTTTGATGAAAAAGCTTATTCAAACAAGTGTCATACATTATTTTATAGCACGAGAGCCTAAAATTAGTGAAAAAGTTGCGATTTTTAGGTTAGAGTGCTATAAAATATTGTAGGTAATGGTTGTGGATATATTATTTGTCAACGAGCATTACAGTATAAACCGTAGGGAAGTGCTGTATTGAACCAATAAAGTTATCATTAATTTCTAAGAATTTATTTGAATGCTTCATCATTTTCGTTCATCGTATTTTTGAAAATTTTTTGAATAAAATGACAATGGAAGTTACGTATGCATAGAATGGATGTCAGTGTGGGTTATAAAAATAAAAGGTTGACGATAGAAGCGGAAAACACGAAAGAAGCAAGTTATTCGGATATACGAAACAAGGACTTAATAAAACCTTAACGAAAAACAAAAATTTGACGTGCACAAACGTGAGCATGCTCTGTACAAAAATAATTTCGATTGAATTCAGTAAAGAATTTCCCCATATTTTTGTATGATTTTTAAATAAAAAGAATGTGATCGTAAGTGCTAATCATATAGTCGAGTAATTATCTTTTACACACATACATATCACAAAATATAATTTTTTGCGTAGAACATTTTACCATGTGTTCTACCGAAAATGAGCCGCACCCTAAAAATAAAGCATGGGCTTTATTTTGAGTCTCGTGAGAGCTGGTAAAAATTTTAGCTAATTCCACCGACCAGATTTCCCGGAATACGTGTGAAAATTTCAAACACTTTCCGGGAAATATGGTCGGTGGAATTAGCTAAAAATTTTACCAGCTACTCAGCGCAACAAAATGAATGTTTCCATAGAGCCGTTTTTCGATATTCGATTTAGAAAAAAAAATATAAATTAAGCAAATTTTTCGACTCTGTGAGGTACAGACCTCCTTAGGGACGTTGCGGAAGAAATTGAGTTCAAATCAGTAATTATCAAAAAACTGCGGAAGGTGTTTAAGTCATGAGTGGATAATATACAGCACTGTATAATTAAGTGTATAAAAGAACTTTATTATAATTAAGATACACAATGGGGCACACATGCTCACTTGGCGTCAGTCAAGGAAGATCCTGACGCTTACGTATAGCGAACATAGTATAGAGGGCTTAACTGTAGATGTCAGCACAGAGTGTAGTACAGGTTTACTCTAACAGAAGGTAGGTAAATGGAGATTAAACGATAATCAGCGCCCTCTGTAAATTCAATGCGGCCGCCCCATAAGAACCTTCGAGCTGCCCGAAACTCGACTAAAACAATTTTCGGGCGGTTCGAAGGTTCTTATGGGACGGCAGCATTGAATTTACAGAGGGCGCTGATTATCGTTTAATTTCCAATTGATTTGACTAGGTGGGTCAGTGGTATCATAGGCTCAAAGCCAAAATGCACGCGTATTTTTGTCTGCTGCTAACCTCTCGAGTTACATTGCATGTAGAGAAAACACGAACTTTTTTTGTTTTTATAAAATTACTTTGAAATATGCTCGTGAATATAAGAGCGGAAATGTTATGCGCTGTATATGAGTAGTGGTGTGTCGTCACTATTAGTTTCCTGCCATATTAGCCAGGTGGAGCGCGACACGCGCTCCTCGATATGCGTAAGATCAATTGTCAGAATTCGTTATACCGGTATTCAAGATTCATAAACGTTCTCCCAAAATTTCAAGACCTTGTATAAAAAAGTGTTTTGGTACAGTCACCTTAAAATCGGCAAAGTTTTTATTAAACTCAAATTTTTCTTCTTTGCGTTTTCTGGCATTATATGAATAAATCTCGTGAAATTTTAATATTTTTGTTAACTTCACAATATTTATGGGCCAAAAAACCAAAAAATTGTATCTCCTTTAACTACACTAAATTGTAGTTTATATTGAAAAGAAATGATCCACCAAGTAAGAGACCCCATGGTCTTACTTCAGACTCAATGTGAAGGTATACACAGAAAAAAGTCATTTTTCAAGACTTGTCTTTGAAGCCCGACACACACCAAACTACAAGACCATGGGGTCTCTTACTTGGTGGATCATTTTTTTTCAATATAAACTACAACTTGGTGTAGTAAGAGGAGATAATTAAATTTTTTGGTCATCACCCTAACTATGGCTTAGCCCTTATATAAAAACTTGAAAGATATAAATGTTGCATTTTATCAATTTCGGATACACAGTTACGTCATAATTACCGTGGCCGTGGTTAATTTTCTTACATCAAAAACGATGCGAACCTAACTATACAATCGAACGAAAGCAATCTGTACATTTCATAAATACGCACATATATAATACGCACGAAATGTTAAAAAATATGGTATGCAACTAGTGCGTGAAGAGTTAGTGAGACTTGTTACATAATACTATTTGCGCACAAAAAAGCATACGCAAAAAGGCATTTTTTGCTATACTATTGCATAATAGTTATTTGTAGCATTAAATCCTAATAGCTGGGCCGAAAAGTGTCCCCTATGGCCCGAGTATCGAACAACATTTTATAGTACTGTGCAAAGTTCACATTTATGCCCCCTTTTCCGAGCCATGAGTCGCACTTTCTGGTAGCGCGAAGTGAGGTTAGCGCACGAGCGTATGCGAGTGTGATGCGAACGCAGCGGTGCCAGAATGTGCGACTTATGCCACCGAAAAGCGTGCTATAGATGTGAACTTATGCCACGCAGTGCTATAATAGTATATTATGCTACGAGGGAGCAAAGATAGCTATGGCCAGCCGCGTGAAGTTGGCTGCTCGAGGCGAAGCCGAGAGCAGCCTCACGTGGCTGACCGTAGCTATCTTTGATCCCGAGTTGCATATACTTTTTTTTCACATACCCAGTGAAAAACTCGACCTATTGGCAGTTTACTTACACATCATAATGTTTTTGCCAATGCCCGCGACATTTGCACGCCCGAGCGAAGCGAGGGCTGCTGGTCGGGGCGGGCATTGGCATATACACGAACAAGCAACATTTTACCGTAAAATGTAAATAAAATTTAGACATGAAATTCCTGGAAATTCTTATGTATATTATAATATCGAGCATAACAATTTTAAATACTTTCAATAAACATGAACAAAAGTAATAATTATAATTATGGGCAATAACATGAATCATACAAACACATTTTTCATAATACATGAAAATTATATCAATTTGATGAATTATTTTTTGGCTTTTCATGTGCATAGATATGATTAATGATAATTTTTTCGATTCGACAATTATTAAATACTGGCAATGATTTTAGGGAAATTTCATCTGTAATTAAGTTATCATTTGAAATTTTTTTTCTTTTTGCTGAAGTTTCATTAACATGATTACCAGTATGGTGATAGTCAAGAGTAATTTCTTGAAATAACGCTTCTTCACTAGGATCGTCATTATTCATAAAATTATCGATCATTTTTTGTGACGGTGACTCTGCAGGGTCAATATTTTCAATATCGTCAGCCACTGTATATGTCAAAGGTCTTTTTTTCAAATTACACCCATTTCTAGGAGGCGACTTTTGAGCTGAGGTGCGGGTTACAGATTGCACAGGCGGGGTTGTTTTCAAATTATATTTATTAGTAGAAGGCTGTTCTTGAGCTGACGCGTATATCTTAGGTTGCACAGAAGAGGTTTTTTTCATATTATTTCTTTGCAAAGGAGGTTGAATTTGAGTCGATGAAGGACCAGCCATTTTATTGAAAATTTCGGTTCTCTCTGCTATAGAAAATGCTAAATAGCCTTGTGCAACAGTATCAGAACTCCATCCACCATGTTTTTTAACCATGTTCAAGTTGGCGCCTGTATTTGAAAGTATCGTGGCTGAGCTACGTCTGAAACAATGCCCCGTGTACGAATCTGGATCTGGTAAATTTAATTGTTGAGCAATTATTTTTGGGATGCCACTTAAGGTATTTTTTCCTATGAATTGTCGAGTGCATTTTCCCTTGTTATAATAAACAAATAGTCGATTGCTTGGCATATCTGAAGGTCTCAGATCTAAGTATGCTTTGATGATACCATAATACTGTTGCCCAATGACGAAATTTCGATCAATTCCAGTTTTTGTATCTCTGATTAAAACGATGTACTGAGAACCTGTATCTGTTATATCCGTTGTAAGTATGTTTAAAAATTCTTTACATCTCAGACAACCAAATATCCCAAAAATCAGAATAGCCTAAATATAAGAATATATCGAGTGTTAAAAATTTTAGTGTTTAGCTTAATGATATTGTACAATATTCAACTCACCTGCATGGCTAAATAAGTATCATCATTCGAATCAATCAGGAATTTTTGCACTTGTTCCATAGTTAAAACCGCTGATTTTTTAGGTTTGTAACCTTTACTTTTTATTATTAATAAATTTTTCAATAATAGATATTGATCGAGGTTAATATTTTCTTTCAATATCATCAGCGATTTCAACTTCGACCAATGACTCCATAGCGTAGGTGGCTTGTATAATGCCGATAGTTTATCAAAATATACGAGTAAATCATCTTCACTGGAAGATCTTCTATTTTCAGTTTTCCAGTGTATAAATGCCGAGTAAGCCTTTTCGTATTGCCCGCGAGATTTTGTTGGCAGCAAATTAGATTTTATCCACTCAGCTTCTGCTGCGAAAGCTCTGTCCTCTGTTTCAGCATCGTCTTCGTCAAATGATTCTTCATCACTTAATTGATCGATTACTATAGCCATTTTTTATTGCAAAAATGATAATCTGTATGGTTAGGTGCGTTTATGTAGCTACACGTGAAAAGCAAGCTGGGAGAAAAAACAATGCAATAGTATTCATGTAAAGCAAGCCGGGAGCAAAATGCAACGTGAAGTTGGCGCGATGCAAAAGTCGATTTTGCTCCCGGAAAAGGAGGAACAAAGTCGAGTTTTGCACTAGGGTATGTGAAAAAATGTTGTACGATACTCGTGCCATGGGGACACTTTTCGGCCCAGCTATTAGGACCCTCGCTGAGCTCGAACTCTAAACTACACCGTGCCATAAAGTGTCACTTATGGCACTAGTATCGTAAAGTACTATTATGCAACAAGGGCCCAAAAGGCGTTTTTGGGCAAGAGTGTGCAGAAAAAGACACGAGTATCGGCCATGCCAGCACGAGTGGGTTTTTTTCAGCACACTAGGCGCAAAAAGCTGGACACGTGTTGCATACAAAATTTTATGCAATTGGGATCTGAAGCAGTGCTCGTTTTCATCCAAGATGGCGGTGTACGCTCGGCACTGAACGTAGCTGCTCTTATGGGAGTCAAGTGATAAATAAATATTTAAATTAAATGAACAATTTGTTTAGGTATCTGATGTGATCAAGACCATCCTTATTTAAATATCTTCTTGTGAAAAAATTTTTGTTTAAAAACTTCTGTCCGTTCGCCTGCAATTTTTTTTTCTGCCATTTTTCTGCCACGGCTCATGGTAAAGGAGCTTGTGATAGATTGTGATGGAATGGCCAAAAAATTGTTTTTCTGCAAGTATCAAAAACTTGTTGTTTTCAATGTCGGATTTGTCTAAAAAAAATTTTAGAAAAATTGGGGCGTTCTATGACTTTTTTTCAGAGGCCCAAAGTTGGCCATTTTAGCGTTTTTTCGAAATTCATGAAAAATCACAAATATTCAAATAATTCCTAGATTAAAGTAGAATGATTCAAAAGTAAAAGTGACCGTGAGCTTTTTTGTAGAAAATTGCCTAAATTTTCAAAAAAATTATTTCAAATTGATTGGAGCAACCTGTTGGGGTATGAAACGGGAACAACTTGACTATGACTCAAGTAAAGTTTGGATTTTTCATTTAAAAATTATTAATTAATTTATTTTAGGAAATTAAAAATGAGAAACGGGATTTTTATTTTTTTATTTAAATGAAAATACTTAATATTGAAACCTAAGACAATTAATGAACTAATAATGCCTTTTGGAGTTTTTATTATCAGATGATCCTGTGAAAAGTAACGTCTTACACTAGAACATTTGCTATATTTTCTTTTAAAGACTTAAATATGACAATTTTTGAATAAAAATTTCACTAATATACTTACTTTCATATGCATTTATGAGAATTAAGACTTTTTTTTATTATATGCTAATACTAAACTTCTTATAAAAAAAGAACAAAATACTTCCCCCTCAATTCAAGGTTGTGTGAGAGCTATTTCAGTCAGGAAACAAAAGTTATAAGAACTTTCCATGAATGTTAGAATTTGCTTAAAAACAAAAAAAAATTATACAAGGAATCATAAAGTAAATTTAATCAAATTAAACACAGTAGTAAATTTTTATTTATTATTCTCTTTAAAAAATGTACAATTTTCTAGTATTTAAAGTTTTTTTAGAACTACTATGGAACTATTTTTAAAAATTATTCATTTTTACACAGTAATTATTTTCTTGAATCGAAAATAACGTCATATCAGAGTAAAATATAGACATAAAACAAATCCTCCATTGACTAGAATATACAAATATATTTATAAATTAAAAAAGAATAAATCAGGAATGGAAGGCAACACCATCACCTTGGACATGTATGAATTACAGAATAATAATAAAAAATCACAAATCGTGTTTACACACTGACACATTCGTCAGCAACATTCATTTTCTTCGCAGTAACTGAAGTATACAACTACACAAAGAATAACACACTTTTCAAAATATTATACTTGGGAAAAAATTAAGCTATGCACATTGCATATTGTAAATATTGATAGATATGGTAAATAAAATATTGACAACCAGTCATTGGAGGAGATGCTTGAGTCGAAAATGCTAATTCCGCTGAGCAACGCGATCATTTCATAGGACGGACAAGATTAATCGGAGCTCTTTGGCGCATTCTCCATATTACATTAATTACCCATACTACTTTAAGAAAACTTCATGTTTTTTCGTTTTAATATAATATCGTAAGTTAAACAATAATTTATTTATTATACTAGAAATTTTTTATAAAAATTGATGAATTTTAATTGCACCTTTTCATTGTTGGAAATATTGTGGTTTACGAGCAATATTAGCAGTTTACGTGATGTAGTAATCAGGTGATGGCTCAGCTACTGATTCTGTTGTAAATAAAGGATTTGGGAACTCTGGTGGATGTGGCAAGGGACCAGCAGTTTTTGGTTGACGTCGGTACGCCATCAACCAACATGACACAACAATAGCTACTGCGACTAGTGCTAAAAGCGCCGTAATGATCAACGAAATCACAAAGCCAGCCGTAGAAATGCAAACATCCTCGGACAGCCGTGGTGACGGATCTGAAATTATCAATTTTATAATCTTAGACTTCCATTTACTATAAAAGATTTATTTTTCATTGTAATTCTTTTTGTTGAGAAAACTTCGCAAAAACTTAAAACTAATAAATCTGATTTATTATTCGCGTTTCAAAAGAACACATCTGTGTTATAGCACTCTAAATTAAATATCGCAACTTTTCCGCTAATTTTAGGCTCTTGTACTATGAAATATTTTATGCAACTTGTGTGACAGGTTTTTCAGCAAAACTCGCCACCTTTCGTTTTGCATAAAAAGCATATCCCACTTGTTGTATAAATCGCTATTCCACATGATCGGGTCTGAGTTTTCCAAATAAAAAGAGAAATTACAGCAAAAATCTCACCATTAGGTTGATATAATGGATATCTATCCTCTCTTCTTTCGATGGTTACTATAGAATTTGAGGTAACATTTATATTTCCACGTTCGTCTCCTATTATGTTTTCAGGCAAGTGAATCGCCGTGTCATTAACATTCGTGACGTCCCGTTTTTTGCGCCCAAAAGCGTTGTATCCTCTACAGTTTACCTGAATATCAAAATTTACCATTTACTTGTGTTCATTTTTTATGTATTGAAAAAAATAAAACTTCTAAAAAATCAATTTTTTTAATGTGATTAACGATCAAGTTTATCCTTACCGGTTGACACCTTCCAAAGCATACTCGAATATTACATTGGAAACGAATATTGTCGCTACTGGGAAATTTAAAGGCGTTAAAGTTTGCCATAAGAGTTTGAGTATCGGGATCTTGTTCCCATTCGCCAAAAATACTCGGATCAGTCGCACATCCATTTTCATCTGTCACAATGTACTCATTTTCTACTTCATTCTCTGTCGTCTTTGCAACGCAAGAACGAGCAAATCCTCCGTAAATTGCTGAAATGATAAAATTATAATTAAAATCTGTTGACTAAACTGTATTTGAAACTTATCAAGTTATACTAAATAAAATATCTTACTCGTTGGGCTAACATCTACTTGCAGTCTTAATCCATCGCCGATTTCAGCTTGACTAATTTCGTTACCATTTTGACTAACAATTTTCATTCTGCATGTTGGTGGAGGTCCAGTATTCGCAATTGTACCAGCAGTAGTCATCATGGATACATTAAAACCAAGAGTGATATTCTGCTCTCCAATTTGATACAAACACTTAATACTGTAAGCTTGTGCATTGTAAGTCATAAGCTTTTTATGTCTCTGAATAACCAAGGTAAAGCTAGCAACTCCCTATCAAATGAATAATCAAAAATTAGATTTTTCATAGTGTAACAATGAAAATGATCAAATTCATAATGCAATACGAACGTTAACATGAGATAATCCACATGTACCAAAGGTGACCTTGAATTCTTCGACAACTTGTTGATCTTTATAAAATTTAAGATCTCTCCTACATTCTTCGTTGGAACTGTAATGTTTCACATATATAATACCGTTAAAAGCTTCGCCTTGGCCGACCAATGTAACCAGTACACCATCTGAGAGACATTTTACACTCATCGATTTCTTGAAATCTTCGAACTTTTTGGCTGTAACATAAAATTTTGTTGAGTTTGGAAAAATCTTAAATAAAATAATTCATCGCGATGAAAATAATTCAAATAGGTTTTAACTAAAAACTTTTGGTGTATACGAAGAATACGTACCTCTACACATTCCGTTTTCATCGATCATTACTCCTGTTTCAGGATAACATGGTATACATATGCTTTTATCATTCTTTGCATGATTTGGTGGACATACACATTCTCCGTATTCATTACGAATTTGACCTTTTTCCAACTCACAAACTGAAAATAGATTAGAAAATTTTTTTTATGAATTTATAGCATAAAATTCTTGATAAAATGAGGATTGTTTTATTAACTTACTTGGTTCACAGTGTTCTATAGCGTTTCCATGATAGTCTGGTAAACAGTCGCATGTCATTGTTCGTATGGGATGAGTGTCCAAAACTGTACAAATTGCATTAACACCACACGGCCTTATCTCTTCACATGGATTTACACATTTTCTGTTGAGGCAAGAGTGCTTCGATGGACACTCGTCATCACTTCGACAACCCACTACAAATAAATTGAAATAATTTGATGGTTTTTTATATAAATTTTATGTTATGTTTAAATATTGTTAACTGACTTTGAGAAATTAAGGGCTAACAGGGGGCTTAATTATTTTTCATTTTTCAGTTACAGTACTAGGCTGTAAAAGTGAAAAAAAATTTCTTTTTCAAGAAAACACATGATAACTCTTTTCAATACCCTATTTGAAAGTATTTTGTGCAGTTAGATATTTAGAAACAGTTAAGTACATCAATAGAAAGTGTGTTGACACACAACACAAGCTTTAAACACATCTAAGCTACCTGTCGTAGAAATCCAAGAGCGAGCATCAATCTAATAAAGACTGTGTAGTTTTATTTTGTTCAATAGCCAATTGGCCATAGTGGCAAACAAAAGCTAGCCATAAGATGAACTGTAGCTACTTGTGTGTACAATTTTCTAGAATTTAGTATTCATTTTTCACCATTTTCCATAAATTAATTTTACTTTGCTATATGTACAAGTAGCTACAGTTCATCTTATGGCTAGCTTTTGGTTGCGACCATGTCCAATTGGCTATTGAACAAAATGAAACCACATAGTCTTTATTAGATTAATGCTCACTCTTGGATTTCTACGACAGGTAGCTTAGATGTGTTTAAAGCTTGTGTTGTGTGTCAACACACTTTCTATTGATGTATTTAACTGTTTCTAAATATCTAACTGCACAAAATACGTTCAAATAGGGTATTGAAAAGAGTTATCATGTGTTTTCTTGAAAAAAAAATTTTTTTTCACTTTTACAGCCTAGTACTGCAACTGAAAAATGAAAAATAATTAAGCCCCCTGTTAGCCCTTAAAAATTAGTCTTGAAAATACAAACCTGGTACGCAATGATGGATATCGTGACCGGTATAACCAGGTGGACAAGAACATTCTGCTACGTGGTTGTAAACGCTACATTCAGTATCCGGGGCACAAAGATTTTGAGAACAAGGATTTTCGCAAAGCTCATTTATACATGCTTTGTCTGACGGACAGTCAGTGTCTTTACGGCAACCAACAATGAGTGTACATAATACGGCTGGATTGCCACTATATCCAGCAGGACACTCACAAATAGCTCGATGTTCGAGACCATAACATTCAGAATTCTTTCCACAAGTTTCTAAAGAAGGTGCACAAACAGATATGCACTGTCGATTAATGCACGCTTGTGTGCCAAGACATTCGTCATTAGATCGGCATGTACCAACTGAAAAGAAAAAAAGTCGCTTGTTCTTTATATGAATGCTGAAATTTCGTTCCACATTAAAAATGAAATACAACTCACCTGGCCGACATTCAACATCTGGATTTCCATCATAACCAGCGATGCACGAACAGATGGGTTTGTGATCAAGAACATTGCAAACGGCATTCGAACCACAAGCGCATGGATCCTTGCAAATAGCATTGATACAAGCACGCTCTGAAGCGCAGTCGCTGTCTGTTGTACATTCAAGAGTTATTAGAGAAGTAACGGGTTGGCAGGTGCCACTTCCACTGCTGATGTAGCCACTCGGACAGGTACAGATCATAGTACGCACTGGTAGGCTTGGTAAGACGCGACACTCAGAAGGGGCATAACAAGGCTCTATAACAGCGCAAGGATCAACGCAGCGGTTATTGAGGCAAGCTTGTTGTTCTAGACAATCGCCGTCACGACGACATTCGGGCTGTTCTTCCGGCTCACAAGCTACATATGGATTTCCATGATGATGGGGTGGACAGCGACAGATTGGAAGATGGTTGCGCGCTCGACACTCGGAACGTCGAGAGCAGCCATGCTCGCGCAGGCAAGGGTCTACACAGAGCATGTTCACGCAGGCAAAGTCGCTCGGACAATCGCTGTTACTGTAGCAACCGACCACCTTGCAGCTTAGCTGAGTATCACTATGTGAGCCTGCGCGGCAGCGACATTCGGCAACGTGATTTGCAGCGTAACATTCAGCGTGAGGTCCACAAACATCCGACAGCAAACATGGATGTACGCAGCTTCCAGCCACGCAGGAGCGGTCGTCTGCGCATTCGTCATCGCGCGAGCACTGCGCTGGTACGCAACCGCGCTCTGGATCTCCTTCATGGCCTGGCTCACAAGAGCATACTGCCCGATGCTTATGGACTTGACAGATAGAATGGGTACCACAGATAGCACACGATTCGCGACACTGCCGGTTTACGCAGCTTTCATTCTCGTGGCAATCGTCGTCCGTGGTACAAGAGGCTTTGTTTGACAACAATACTGTAATAAAAGAAATTAAATTCGATTAATCTATAACAAAGATTTTTTTCTAATTTTTTAAAGAATTTTTTCTTACGTGGTTTACAGATGCCATCGACATCTGAAATCCATCCATCTGGACAAGTACAAACCATAGTGCGCACAGGGAAGGTGTCGAGAACATGACATTCAGCACTGTGGTCACAAGGCTTTATACTTGGACAAGGTTCGATACAGCGATAGTTGATGCAAGCTAGCTTACTCGGGCAATCGCTGTCTGCCCGACATTCGGGCTCATCATCTGCAAGATTAACGGCTCGACTCTCACAGTAAGAATAAGGGTTACCGCTAGGAGAACCCTCTGGGCACCTGCAGTACATTTCATGGTTGACTACAAAACACTTGGCATTGCGTGCACACGGTGAATCACTGCTGCACGGATTGATGCATCGTGAACCACGACAAGCTAGCTCAGATGGACAGTCGTGATCGCTGCTGCACTCGGCTCGTTCACACAAAACTTCGGCATTACCAATATAACCAACTCGGCACTGGCAGTTTGCTCGGTGGTTTTGAGCTACGCATTCGGCATTTATACTGCAGTGATTTTCGAGTATGCAAGGATTGATACATTGATTATTGAAACATGTATCGGTGTTGGTGCAGTCATTGTCACTTTCACACTCAACTGTAAAATTAAATGCGATGAGAATATTTTTCACTTTTTTAAATTATATTGATAAATAATTTTTGAACTGTAGTATTATGTGTATGTGTATACCTTTAACGCAACCTATTTGTGGATTTCCTGAATAACCTGGCTGACAAATGCAAGAAGGATAGTGATTGGTGACTAAACATTTGGCGTTTGGCCCGCAGTTGCAAGGACTGATACAAAGTCCATTGAAACAAGATTCCGTGATCCCACACTCATTGCTAGTATGGCATTGAACCACGAGAGCAGCTGTATTGAGTCAAGAGATAGTGCATATTTTAATACATCAATTAAATTACAATTTTAATAAGGCAGGACAATTTTTCATTGAACTTTTAACTTTTACAAAATTATGATGTGTGAATTTCATAAAAAATATTGAATTTAGAGAAAAACTATGGAAATTCAATTTCCATACCTTTCCGTACCTATGGAAATTTGCTTCTACCTTCAGTGACTTAAAAAAGAAATTTGTAGACTATTATACTCACGAGGTATACACTCAATTTTAGCGTCGCCCATGTAATGATTAGGACATTTACATACTGGATTATGATTATCAACATGACACAGAGCATTTATTCCACATACGTCTCCAGTAGAACATGGATTAATGCAAATTGAATTTATACATTGACGATCTTCGTGACAATCCTTATTCGTATAGCACTCAGCAAATTCTGGTTGTATTTGAGTTATTGGAACTGCAATTAAAAAAAATATTCGAAAATGTATCCATTCCTAGGATTCAGATCCCGCTACAATGTAAAAATTCTGAAATACTTACTCAGAGAGCATTCAACGTGAGCATTACCAGTATGATCTGATGGACACATGCAGTTTCCAGTGTGGAAAGCCGATTTACATTGTGCGTTAAAACCGCACTTAGTAATATGACAAGCATCGATGCAATTACCTTTCATACATTTTTCAGTATCTCTACATTCATCATCAAATGTACATTGAGGAGTATAAGCTAAGCAATTGAAATAGTTCAGCATTAGATGACAGTAAAATTTTTATCGAATGAATAAAAAAAGAGAATAATAATAAAAATAACTTACCAATTTTTTTACATTTTCCACTGATATCTATAACTGTTTCAGGAGGACACTGACAAATCATCGTTCGTACTGGTACTGTACCAAGAACTCGGCATTCTTGATCTGTACTGCACATATTTGAGAGTGCACATGGATCTTGACAAAGAGAATTAATGCATGCTTCTGCAGATGGACACTGGCTATCTTCTGTACATTCTGGTTTACTGACTGGATTTTTTCCCGAATCTTGAGATAAGCATTATATTATATAAAGTTGTAAAAAATTTAAAGCAAAATAAAATTGAGAATATCTCGATAAAACTCACCAACACATTCCACGAATGGATTTCCAAAGGTACCAGCTCTGCAGTGACATCTGGGTTGATGAGCTCGTGCTTGGCAAACCGCACCTTCGGCGCAGCTACTTTCATCGCAGGCTGGTCTACAAATGCGATTGAAACGTTCACAGACTTCGTGGTCAGCACAATCTTCATTGTATTGACACCGCGAGGTGGTACAAGCAATGTGAGCATCTCCTTGTGTACCGACTGGGCACGAACATTGAGCTTGATGAGCTACAGCTCGACATTCGGCCCCTCGACCGCAAACAATGTTGTCCACCAGGCAAGGTGTTACGCATACATTATTGCGACAAGCCTTATCGTAAGGGCAGTCTGGGTCACTTTTGCATTCAGCTTCGAAACACTGAATTTGTGGATTACCGGCCAGGCCTCGTTGACAATGGCAGGTTGGGTGATGTTGAATAGTTACGCATTCTGCATTCAAACCGCAACGGTTGTTCATGCATGGATTTTGGCAAATGCTGTTAATGCAAGCCTTATCCGAGGGACAGTCTGAATTGGTTCTACACTCTGGATGTGGAATTGAGTCAGAATCGCAGTCAACGTAAGGATCGCCGACGTAACCGACTGGACATTTACAAATGTGTTGATGATTTTCAACGAGACACTCTGCAGTATGTGCACAAGGATTGGCTAAGCAAGGACTGATACAACGCTGATTCAGGCAAGCCAAGTTGGATGAACACTGAGAATTTGATTGGCATACAGCTTCTGACGATGATTCAGCTAAAATTTGCAATTAATCATTGTTATGTATTTATCACTTAAAAACAAATCATTAAGGGAACAAACCAGCGTTAAATCCTGTAAATTGAAAAAACATGTAAATTAAATGTTAATATTGAAATTTTTAATTTACAGACATTAACACTGGTTTTTCCCCTTAATTTTGGATAAAAGTAAATAGCGTCTTTTCACCTTTGACACAAGATGAAGTAGCATCACCAACGAAATCTCGCGGACATTCGCATATCATTGTTCTCATTGGTAAAGTATCAACAACTGTACATTTAGCTTGCGGTATGCATGGCTGGGAAGCATCGCAAGGATTTCTGCAAACGTTATCGAAGCATGCCAACTTGCTTGGGCAATCGGCATCGATTTTACACTCCGAATGTTCTCGTACTTCTAAATATTATAACACATAAAAATATATAAAATGACTGATTGAAAATATTGAACTTAAAATTTAAATGATCCCCCCATTTTTCACCAAAAACCCCTTATTAGACATATTTTTTACACACCTCGAACACATTGCGAGTAAGCATCGCCAGTATAACCTGGAGGACACTTGCAGACTGCTCTATGGTTGATAACATGGCACTGAGCACTATGTGGGCAGTCACAGGGACTGACACAATGTGAATTACGACAAGATAAACTTTCGGAGCACTCATCATCGCTGGTGCATTCAGGACGTTCACAGATTTCGTATGGATTTCCATAATAACCTTCTTGACAGTAACATCTTGCTTTGTGGTAGCCATCAACGTTGCACAAAGCATTCACACCACATTGCGTGATTAAGCAAGCATCTGTGCACTCATTATTTATGCATGCTTGACTGAAGGGGCATTCGTCATTTCCTCGACAGCCAACTAGGATTGAAAATAAAAAATACTTTTACATTGATGAAATTAAAAAGAATCATTAAAAATAGTCAAACACTCACGTTCCCGACAAGACAAATGTGGATTGCCAGTGTAACCTGATCCACAGACACAGACGGCTCTATGCAATTGAACATGACATTGACTATTCTGCCCACAACTATTGAGCGTACAAGGATCGACACATTTTGCGTTATGGCATGTTTTATCATTAGTGCATTCTGAATTATCGGTGCACTCTGGCGGAGGAACTGCAAATAATAGAGCAATTTTTTAAAATTTCATAAAAATAATATCTTAACAATGATTTATTAAAAAAAAAATATTTACGTCGTTCGGTAACAGCTTGACATTCAAGATGTGGATTTCCCATAAAACCACTTGGGCAAGAACAGACGGGTTTATGGTTAACCGTTCGACAAACTGAATTGATTCCACAAGAGCCGATACAAGGATCTCGACATTTTTGTGAAAAACATGCTTTGTCTCGGCCACAATCGGAATTAACAACGCACTCTGGATAGATGCAGGTAGCAACTCGGTTACGTACTCGACACTCGCCGTTGCTAGAGCACGGATTCGGATTGCATAAATCTACACCTGTATTAAAACAAATATTTAATTTTAAATATTTATTTACATATTTATTTATATTTTTGCATCTCAAGGAGTGTCTCTTATGCAACATAAGGAACTTTAAAAAACTTTCGTTCAATTAAAATGCATAGTTATGCATACTACTTAATTAGTATTTCGTTTGTCTGATTAAAACTTGCCTTCTTTGTGATAGCATTCTTCAAATGGATTGCCTACGAGTGGTGCTGGACAGCTGCAAAGTGGACTATGATTCATAGCTCTGCATGTAGCTTTGATACCGCATACATTTTCAAGACACGGATCTTTACACCGGAAATTGACACATGTTTTATCACCAGGACAATCAGAGCTTAGTACGCACTCAGGATGACATCCAGCAACATCAGAGGGATCGCCTAATAACCCTGGCAAACAACGGCATAGAGCACGACCGTTTACATTTTCGCACGTCGTATGGGGACCACAAGTATTAAGTAAACACGGATTTTCAGGTGATTTTGGACCTATTTAAACACAAATATTTTCTATTTAATAGCTTTCTATTAATAATGAATTTTTGAAATAACATTTTATTACCTTCAAGTGTCTTACACACAGTAAATGCATCGCCTACAGTGGGATATGGACATGAGCATACTGGAACGTGGTTGGATACTGTACAAGTAGCCCCTATACCACAAGTACCATCGCATGGATCAATACATTTATGTCTTAGACAAGCTCGGTTATTGGGACAGTCGTTGTTGGCCAAGCACTCAGGATAACATCCAACATAAGGATCACCTCGATGATCAGGTAAGCACTCGCAAGTCGCTTGCTCATAACGTTCTCGACAGTTTGTATTAACACCACATGGCGATGGGTGACATGGACTTACTATAGCTGTTGGCTCTTCTGGTTCTGTGAAATTCAAAATATTGATTTTAGATTCATTGGAAATGACTTTAGATTTTTTTCGAAGAAGCAAGCTCAAGCTCATTCAAAAAAATATAAAGTATAAAAAAGTTCGTATCGTGAAAAATTTTATTACAATTTAAAAATTTTCAAAATTAATAGGCAACTAGATGTTTTTCCTTCAAATGTTTATAAATAAAATTCAAAATGTGTGCAACTGTACAAAACGAACGAACAATTCATACATTTTATTTACAGTCTGAAAATTATAAAAATAATTCATCAGCCAATGCGTGAACTTATCAATAGCAATAAAGCAACTAATATGTACAATTATAGAGTAAAATATATAAAACAATATGCTTATATTTATAAATATACAAATTTATAGTTGATAGTCAAATATTAATGCATGCACGACCATCATTAAAGATAGAATCATAGTATAAGTGTTTGTATAAGAAAAGTCGTGAAATTTTATTATGGCTAGAGAAAAGAAAGTTAATTAAAAAATATATTCAAAAAATAGCTGAAACAATAAACATTAAAGTATACAAGTGAATAATAACCAATAAATATATGACATATTTGTATTCGTGATCAACGTTATCATATCGCACCGTAGAACGAACACAGTCGATCTACAAACAAAAAAGATTACATGAATAAATATGAAATTTATAATAATTCTAAACAATTGTAGTCTTATAAGTTCCTGAATTATTTTTAGTTCACGAACTTACTACATAATTAAGTCATTACTCGTTCCATCAAATTCTTAATTATACATTAAAATATGATCATGCACTCTTGTTTGAACGCTTTCGGGTGAACTATTTCCATAAAAATCTGAATATTTCTTCATATTTAGCATGAATTTGATCCCACTTTTGTTTCAAAAAACACTTTATATAGTATTTTGTTCAAACGAAATATACATTACATATAACTCAGCTTTGGACAGTTACAACATATACTTTTATAATGGTATATTGATTTTTTAAATAAAAACTATCACTGAAAAAAATTAACTAAACATATACTTTTCCTGACTAGTAATTAAGATGATTAAAGTTTGACTACGAACTTCTCTGAGCACGGTGATTAATAACCAAGACTGGCCATGAAATTAAATAACATGCTATGAGGTTTCTTATTTCGGTGTCCTATGATTGTTTGCATTATAAGTGTGTTTATGACTTTTAGCCATTTCCAAGCCGAAAAACAATACATTTAGCAAACTGGCTGAATATTTACTATTCTGCTGAACATTCATTTGAAATAAGTTGAAAAAATACCTTCTGTAAAAGTATGTCTACGGGATTTGGAAGCTAAGTTAAAAATAAAAATGGTCAAACCAGTTTTTTGAAAATCTCGCTAGATTTATATTTACTTTTAATTATAGAAAACAGATTTAAAAATTATCAATTGAACCTATGCTTTTCTATTTTTTCAACACAATGAAATCGGTATAGCTATTGAAATATTTATAACATTCAATATTTTAAGTGCAAATCACTATGCGCTCTTGAATTTTAGCGTGCAAAAAGCAATGATTCTGAGTGTAATTTAAATATTATGAAAATAAAATTCTAAAATTCAATTAAATAATATTCAAATGCAAGGTGGAGCGCATACAAATGGTTCAATAAATTATTTTTATACCTCTATGAGGGATGCAGGAAATTAATGCTTGTCCACTCGTATTTTCTGGGCATATACATATGGCCAAATGATTTGATACAACGCATTGTGCATTTTGGCCACAAATTCCTATGCAGGGATCTTCGCATTTATTTCGGATGCATGCTTTATTTTGAGGGCATTCTTCGTTCATTATACACTGAGGCCTGCACTCGGTGTAAGGATTTCCCGTAAATGTGGGCTTACAAGAACAAATACCATTTATACAATTAGTATTTATACCACATAAAGAAGGACTGCATGAATCAGTAGTCGCCTTTTCAGATTCTAAAATGATATAGTTATTTCGGTAGAGATTTTTTAACTGGTAATTTCAAAAATTGTACCATTAAATTTATACCTATTGTTATCAATACTTGACATGACGTGAAAGGGTCTCCTGAATATCCTTCTAAACATTTGCAAATAGGTATATGGTTAAATACATTACATATTGTTTGAAACCCACAAGATCCTAGGCAGGGATCTAAACATTTATTTTTTATGCAAGCCAAATTATGAGGACAGTCTGTATTGATGAAACATTCGGGTTTACAATTTGGAGGAGAGCCTAAGTAGGTATTTCGACAAGAACAAATGGCGCTTTTATTGATTTCTTGGCATTTAGAGTAAGGCCCACATGGAGAAGGTTGACAAGGTGTATCGATAATTTCACTTCGATTGCTTTGTTTTTCTAAATGAGAAATAAGTGAAATCATTTAATATCAGTATTAAATCATAAAATGGTTTTTAGCTACAAACCAAGATTGCAAGAAACAAACGGATCTCCTGAGAATCCATTTTTACAAAAACAAATAGGACTATGATTTATCACTCTGCAATGTGCGTTTATACCACAAACATTAAGGCATGGATTGCGACATTTATTTTTGTGACAAGATTTCTCATTTGGACACTCGGAATTTATTGTACATTCTGGACGGCAACCTGGTGGAGATCCGAGATATCCCTTTTTACATGAACAAACAACTTGTTCATTTTTTAATTGACACTCACTGTTGGAGCCACATACATTTGTAGTACAAGGATTAATTTGATGCTCAATGATATCATCTAAAATAATTTTTTACTCAATAGGCATTTCAGACGTAAGTGACTTCAATTTTTTTTTACCTCGGACAATTTTACGACAAAATGAAAAAGGATCTCCTGTATATTCATTTAGACAAAAACAAGATGGTAAATGGTTAACTACGTGACATATAGCATTTTGTCCGCAAAGTCCAGGACATGGGTCGATGCATTTATATCGGAAACATGCTAAATTTGAAGCACAGTCCGTGTTTATAGAACATTCTGGACGGCAGCCCTGATAAGGATTCCCAATGAAGTTAGTTACACAAACGCATGATCCAACTCCATTTTTTTCTCTACAAATGGCATTTGCCCCACAAGGTGTTGGTACACATGGACTAGTAGATTCGTACACAGGTTTGGCTAAATTTATATACTTTTATCAATGACTTCATTGAATAATAAAATTTTTTACTGATTATTGCGACACTTACGTAATTGGTAACACTGCGAAAAAGGATCTCCTGTGTATTGAGGTAAACAAGAACATATAGGTGTATGGCTGACAACGTGACATTTGGCATTGGATCCACACGATCCTTCACATGGATCTTTGCAAGAACGCTTTATACAAGCTAAATGTATGAGGCATTCATTATTACTAACACATTCTGGGTGACAATTGGGAGGAGAACCAAAGTATCCAGGCAAACAAGAACATGAAGGTAAATTATCTGCTACTTCGCATATGGCATTAGGGCCACATGGTGATGGTACGCAAGTTTTTATCGGAGATTCTTTTATTTGAACATCTTCTACGAAAATATTATCCGAGCATTTAAATTATAACTAAATTTGAATCAATAATTAGCATCAAATTTTTCATTAATTCTTACTCTTTTCACAATAATTAAAAGCATCTCCAGTCCAATTTTCTGGACAACGACATATTGGTGTATGATGAATAACTTGACATATTGCATTTATACCACACGCACCTATGCAAGGATCGATACATTTTTGATTGCTACATGCTTGGTTTCGAAGACATTCAGAACTAGTGATACATTCTGGTCTGCAACTTGGCGGGGTTCCTAAATAACCACTTAGACAAGAACAAATTATTTGCCCTGCTAATTCTTGACAAAAACTGTTTGGACCACATGGAGATGGATAACAGAGATTTTGAACTGCTCCTTCTTAATAAATTAAAGAACATGTTTTGTTTCTATTAATAATATTTTTAAAAGATATACTTTTTTAGTTTCAAGCATACCGTAAGGATAACATGCCACGAATGCATCCCCTGTGAATTTCTCGGGACACGTGCATATGGGAATATGATTATAAACGTTACAAGTAGCCGATACACCGCATGTGCCAATACATGGATCAATACAAGTGTTATTACTGCAAACCTGATTCATGGAACATTCACTGTTTAAAACACATTCGGGTCTGCAAGCTATGTATGGATTTCCTTGATATTTTTCAATGCACCTACATATTCCATCATTACAATTAGCATTTGCTCCACAAGGTGAAGAGTGACAAGAATTCGTTTTTACTAAAATAAAAAAGTTATTTTTATATACTGACGATTAAACAATTTTGAAGCTAACTCTTACAAGGTTGGGCATATGGTATTTCAGGTTGACATTCTACGAATGGATCCCCAATAAATGATTTTGGACAAGAACAAATGGGTATATGGTTAATGCAATTACAAATAGCTCTATAACCGCAAGAACCATCGCATGGACTCCTACATTTCTGGTTCATACAAGCTTGGTTTCCGGGACAATCAGAGTTAATGACACACTCTGGTCTGCAATAAGGAGGACTCCCTATATATTGCGATAAACATGAACACGATGCCAAAGAACCTATTACTTGACAATCGGAGTTTGGTCCACATGGAGAAGGTACGCAAGGATCTAATTCAATTATAGATTCTGGAAAAAATATTTTTCTTACTTCAAAGAGGTTCAAATGTTAACATGACAATCCATTATGCTTATTGCTTACTTTTTAACAGCGTACATCGAGTGAATGGATCTCCAGAATAGCCTGGTTTACACGAACAGATTGGGCTATGATTAATGACTTTACAAATGGTATTCAAACCACATGGTTCAGGGCAAGGGTTAATACATCTTTGATTAACGCAGGCATGATCCAAGGAGCACTCAGAATTGATAACACATTCTGATCGACACCTTGGTGGGCTTCCAATAAACGTAGGTTTACATGAGCATATGGCTTCATCGTTAATTATACGACAATTAGAATTAGGCCCACACATTGAAGGAGTACATGGATCGTATTTTTCATTAACTAGAAATTCAATATGTATTATCAAAAATAAGATTGTTTCAAAACTAGTAGGCGAAACAGGTAAATCATACAAAAGTTAAATAAGTCGGTAAAGTGCATGTAGGGTAGCAAGATTCGAATAAGAATTATCTATTTTGCGAAATCTTTGCGTATACCACTGTTCTAAATTTTGTAAGCTTACTTTTATTAAAAATTTTTGATTCAAGAATGAAAAACCATGTTTTGCGCACAAGTTTGAAACTTCACATATTTTCTAGTTGAAGCAATTATACGGAAAAATACATTTTATACGTGAAAATAATATTTCTTATTTTTACTACATAACGGCGTTTTTTTATAGGAACAAACATCTAGGTTTTTTACTTATAGTTTGAATTTTTTTGAAATGAGAATTCTGATAAGAATTGGACATTTTTAAGCCTACTATCATTTATTTAAAGATTTTAGTTATCATAATTTAAAATTTGAATAAATAGATTCATCTAATGACTCGTTTACAAGTTAATTAAGGCAATAGTTATTTTTGCGTACTTACTTCTCTTTTAGGATCATTTTTATAATTGAAACATACTATATTTTGTAAAATTTTATGTAGACAAGATCCAAAACACATAGTTATTATAACGCGTGATTCTATCAATTTTTATAAAAAGCTAGGGACTAAACTAACTCGTGTGTTCTAAGAAACATCATGATTATTCTGAAAAGAAACTTACTAGGTGGCACTTGATAAGGAAGACAGTATGTGAATGGGTCACCAGTAAATCCTGCTGGACACGAACAGTTCGGTATGTGGTTAATGACATAACATTCAGCATTCTGACCACAAATTCCAGGGCAAGGATTTTGGCATTTAAATCGCAGACAAGCCAAGTTTGAGGTACAATCAGAATTGAGGGTACATTCAGGAATGCATCCTTCATAGGGGTTACCAAAATAATCTGGCTTGCATCGGCAGGAACCTATACCATTTCGAGCTTTACAAATGGCGTTAGAGCCACATGGGGATGGTGTACAGGGACTGAGTTCTACAGCTGACTGATTCGATACTAGAAATATTAGAATGAAAAAGTGTTATTAATGTTTATTTTAAAGATTCTCATCATGTAGCCGAATAATAATGGTCGTTCATAGATATATATATCATTAAGGATATCCTGTTAAAACCTGTAAAAAGTAATAAAAACGGTGGTTTACGATCATACTTACGCAAGAGCCAAGATCACCAACAACAAATGTGGTAGCGCTTTGCTGTCATTTCAATATGTGTACTATTGTTTATAATGCAACGTTTACGTTTAGATTTTTAGTGTTTTCGTAGGACTTAATATAAAAAGTATAACAAAGGGACAAACATAATCAGATAATAATAATTAAAGCTCGCATAAAACATTAATTGTTGCAGTTCTCCTGCATTTTAACCCATGTCTTACTTAACTTTTACACGTTAAATGCTAATTCATTAATTAATTTTAAGTACGAAAGAAATCGGAAATAGAAATCGAATAGCTAGGAATAGCATGTAGACAGAAGGTACTTACCTAATTTCTTTCGAAGCATGCATTGAATAAAATTAGGAGGATTTTAAATTAGAAAACCCAATATAATAATGCCTAATACCCAAAAAGTTCTACCAGATTATAATACGCTATTGATTTAAAAAAACTCACCTTGTTGTTTTATAACTGGTTGACATAATGAGAAGGGATCTCCTTGATAATTTTCGATGCAAGAACATACTGCATTATGATTGACAACAGTACACCGTGCGTTTGTACCACAAATTCCTTCACATGGATTGCGACATTTCTGCTGCATGCATGCTAAATTAGGTGGGCATTCTGGATTGATTGTACACTCTGGTCGGCAATTAGGTGGTACACCAATGTAATTTTTCATGCATGAACAAGCGAATGAATCACCGCGTACTTTGCATTCTGCATTGGGACCACAAGGCGACGGTAGACATGGATTTTCAGGTTTTAATGGTTCAACTATAATAAAATAATTTTATTTATTTTTGTAAGATGTGCTATTAGTAATCACAAGTTTTTTACTACGATGATATTAATATTTGAGATCTTAAAATTTTTAATATTTTTTTCAAACTTTTGTACAAATAAATGCAAAATAATATTTTATGAAACTTACTTTTCGCTGGATAACAGCTGCTAAATGGATCCCCGGTATATCGCTCATAACAGCTACATATTGGATTATGATTTATCACAAGACACTTGGCATTTTGACCACAAGATCCTGGACATGGATCTTGACATTTATTATTCAAACAAGCTTGCTCTAAGGGACATTCTGAACTAACGACACATTCAGGTCTGCAAGCAGGAGGACTGCCGGTGAATGAGGGTTGACAAGAACACACTGCATGATTTTCAATAGCTTTGCAAATACTGTTGGGACCACAAGGCGATGGTGAGCATGGTTTATTTACACGAACTGAAATATAAATTAAATTTTTATTTAATTTGTCAAAAGTTGAATTACAAATTCATCAGTAATTAATTCTTACTCTTTGGTATGATTTTACAAGCTGAGAATGGATTGCCTGTCATATCTGGAGGACAACTACACATGGGGATGTGGTTCACAACATTGCAAATAGCATTGTTACCACACGTTCCAATGCATGGATCCTTGCATCTATGATTGATACAGGCTTTATTACGTGAACATTCAGAGTTAATGGTACATTCGGGACGACAAGCCGTATACGGATCGCCAAAATAGTTCGGTGAACACTTGCATACATTATTTGCATCGCACTGAGCGTTAGAGCCACACTGGCAAATATCGTTAGATTTTGGTGGCACTGATATAACTATAAATTTAAAAAATTTTTTATTTATTTTAACATATTTAGATTGGATACAAAATTTACTAGTGCTATTGTTATACGTACTTTCAATTGGCGAGCAAAGAGTAAAAGGATCTCCAGTAAAATCTGCTTTGCAAAGACAAGTTGGTATGTGATTTTGAACTCGACAATCTGCATTTTGGCCACACGAGCCGATGCAAGGATCTCGACATTTTTCAGATATACAAGCTTGATTTGAGGCACAATCTGTATTGACTACACATTCTGGACGGCAATTGGGAGGTGAGCCTATGTAATTCTTTTTACATTTACAACTTGCTTGGTTGCCAACTCTGCGACATTCAGCATACAGTCCACAAGGATTCAATGCACATGGATTTTCTGATTGAACTGGTGGGGCTGTTTCTATATAAAAAAAACAACTTTAAGAACTTTTTGAAATTAAAAATAAAAAAATGAAAAAATGATATTTACTTGGTTCTTCGTAACATTGTGAAAATGGATCACCCGTGAAACCAGCTGGACAACTGCACAGAGGGTTATGGTTGATAACTCTGCATTGAGCTCCAATTCCACATGTTCCAGGACAAGGATCGTTACATTTATTCTTATAACAAGCACGATTTTGTGGACATTCAGAATTGACTAAACATTCTGGTTTGCAATTAGGTGGTGAGCCATAGTATCCTTCTTGACATGAGCAAACCGATTGATCATTGATATTACGACAATTACTGTACGGGCCGCATGGCGAAGGACTGCACGGTTCTTGGCGGAAACTGGGTGGTTCTGTAACTGGTTCAAAAGTGCAACCAACAAACGGGTCACCGTTGTAGCCTGGCTGACACGTACAAGTTGGAATATGGTTGACAACATTGCATTGAGCATTAGTACCACAAATACCAGGACACGGATCTACACATTTATTTCGCAAGCAAGCTTTATTGGTCTGACAGTCTGAGCTATGAGTACACTCTGGTTGACATCCTTCATATGGATTTCCATGATAATCGTCAATGCAAGAGCATGCACCAGCATTATCCTTACGCTGACAAATTGCGTTAGAACCACAAGGTGATGGCTCGCAAGGATTAAGGGGTGCTTCTGTAAGTTGCAGACATTGTATAAATGGATTTCCTGTAAAACCAGGAGAGCAAGTACAAATAGCTGCATGATTGATCACTGAACATTCAGCATTTTCTCCACAAGATTCAGCGCAAGGATCTTGACAACGTTCATTAATACAGGCTTTGCTAGAGTGACAATCTGGATTTATAATACATTCAGGCCTGCAGTTTGGCGGTATACCCGTATAGTTTTGTTGACAAGAACAAACAGGGCTGCCGTTAATGTCCTGACAAACAGAATTCGGTCCACATGGTGATTGACTACATGGAGATGCATCAATTTTAGGTCCTGGAGCTGGTAATGGTTGCTCAAAACAACTTTTGAAAGGATCACCGGTTTGACCTGGTTGACAGCTACATATTGGCGAATGATTAATTACTTCACAACGTGCGTTTAAGCCGCAAGATCCTAAACATGGATCAGTACACTTATTGTTGATGCACGATCTTGTTGGTGAACATTCAGAACTAACCACGCATTCTGGTCTACATGAAGGTGGTGTTCCAATGTAACCGGACAAACAAGAGCAAACTGCATGTTCTTGAACATTTTTACAAATACTGTTTGGTCCACAAGGTGAAGGATCACATGGATTCAGTGAAGGTTCAACACTTATTGGTTGAGCCCGACAACTAATAAAAGGATCTCCTACATAACCAGAAGGACACGAGCATATTGGTATGTGATTAATCATATCACATTGCGCATTTTGACCACACGTGCCTGGACATGGGTTACTGCATTTATTTCTAATACACATTTTATCTCGAGGACATTCTGAACTAATTGTGCACTCGGGCCTGCAGGCTTCAAATGGATTACCAATAAATTCAGGCAAACATTCACAATCACCATTATTGCAAATAGCATTCGGTCCACAAGGAGATGGATTGCACGGATTTGGTGGAGATGGTGCTCGGCTCGGCTCAGATGAGCATTGTGAAAACGGATCTCCAGTGAAACCTTCAATACATGTACAAATAGGAATATGATTTAGAACATGGCACTGTGCATATAATCCGCAAGAACCATTGCAAGGATCTTGGCATTTATTTTGGATGCAAGCCAATTCACTATTGCACTCTGAATTAACTAAACATTCTGGTCGACAATCAGGTGGCAGTCCAATGTAATCAGCTAAGCAAGAGCAAGCAGGGCTACCGGCGATAATTTGGCACTTAGAGTTAGGCCCACATGGTGAAGGAGTGCAAGATGGAGGACGTTCTGTTATGTCCTCATCTCTTTGATCAACTATACATTGAGAGAATGGGTTTCCAGTAAATCCTGCAGGGCATGTGCATATAGGACTATGATTTTTGACTGTACACTGAGCTTTCAGGCCGCAAGTATTTGGACATGGATCTAAACATTTATTATTTATGCAGGCCAAATTTGATGCACATTCTGCACTGACCCGGCACTCTGGTCGACATCTTGGAGGTTCTCCAATGTAATTCGGTTGGCACGTACAGACTGGTTGACTATTAACTGCTCGGCACTTACTATTAGGGCCACAGGGTGATGGTAAGCATGGATCAATTGGTGCTTTCACAACTAAAATTTGAATTTTATATAATTAGTTTCAACAAAATTTTTTTGAATATTGAGCAGTTAATTTTTACCTTTGCTCTCTTCGCAAGCATAATAAGGATCGCCTGTAAACCCACTAGGACATTTGCAAGTTGGAATGTGTCTTTCAACCACGCAGATGGCTAATGTACCACAAGTTCCTGGACAAGGGTCAACACATTTGTAGCCGGTGCATGTTAGGTGAGGTAAACAATCTACGTTAGCTTCGCATTCACGACGACATCCCACATGAATATCATAGGGGTCCCCGAAGAAATTGGTTTGACAAACACAAGCGCCAGCATTGTTTCTCTCTCTACACTGAGCATTTGGTCCACAAGGATTAGGTACGCATGGATTTGATGGTGCCTCTTCAGTAGCTAAAATTATAATTTCATTATGTTAATTATTTAATAAAAAATCACCATATCGAAAATATATTTATACAGGCAAACCCCGTTATCCGCGATTCTTCGTATCCGCGGTACCCCTATTTGTGACCCAACTTCAGTTGGAAAAAAACTCGAGAGAGTGCAAAATCTTTGGGGAAACATGCAGAACAATGCAAGATAAGTCATAAGTAAAATTTTAGCTGATGCAGAACAACTCATTGAACGAGCCATAAATCATGATCCAATAATGACTCGCAGCCTTCAATTCAAGCAAGATATAACAAAATCATTGCAGTGTTATGAAAGTTTATACAAAGATTTGATGCACAGAGCGAAGCAAAAAAGTTTGACTAAGTATTTTACTCGAAAATAAATAAATACTTTGATTTTTCATAAAAAAAAGGTGTTTTACTCTTTCGTACATTGACATTTCAGCTGGACGAGGAACCGAACCCCCCTTTTCCCATAAGAACAATGCTTCGGTATCCGCGGTTTCGGTATACGCGGTACTTTTTCGGAACCGAACCCCCGCGGATAACGGGGTTTGACTGTAGTCATGATTTGTTGAATGCTGTAATTAAAATTGAACTTACTAGTCACGAGCATTTGTATACATTGAATAGTTGCATCTCCAGCATATCCTTGTGGGCAAGTGCAAACGGGCAAATGATTGTGCACTGAGCATCTTGCTAGCTCTCCACAAGCACCTTGGCATGGATTTTTGCATTTTTGATTAATACAAGCAGCATTATTTGGACATTCTGAGCTGGTATTACATTCTGGTCGACAGTTTGGAGGTCTTCCGATGAAATTGAGTAAACACGAACAAGCTGGTTGCCCGTTTATCTCTCGACACTGAGAATTTTCTCCACAAGGATTTGGTATGCAAGGATTTTCTGGAATCTTAGGAGATACATTTTGAACTTCTGTGCATATTTTGAAAGGATCTCCAGTATATCCATTCATGCATGAACATATTGGATTGTGATTAAGTACCAAACACTTCGCATTTTTACCACAATTACCAGAACATGGATTAATACATTTGTTATTAATGCAAGCTTTGTTTTGTGGACACTCTGAACTGACTGTGCATTCTGGCCTACAGGTTGGTGGTGTTCCAATGAAACCAGTTTGACAAGAGCAAACAGCATGACCATTCAAAGTACGACAATTACTATTTGGTCCACATGGTGTCGGATCACAAGCATCAGAAATTGGTTTTTCAGTAATGCGAGCTTTCGGATGACATCCAGTAGTTGGATCACCTGTGTAATCTGGTAAGCATGAACAGGAAGGTGCGTGATTGATAACCCGGCAAGAAGCCATAGGACCACAAGAATTCAAACACGGATTAACGCATTTGTTGTTGAGACAAGCTCTGGATCTATCACAATCAGAATTTGTCACGCATTCTGGTCTGCATCCAGTATAAGGATCACCAAAATATTCTGATAAGCAAGTACATGAGCCTACTCCATTCCTCTCATTACATACTGCATTTGCTCCACACGGTGAAGGATTACATGGAGTAGGCCGTTCAGTTGTAGATATTTGAGTAATTATTATCGAGCAACCACGGAACGGATCACCTGTATAGCCATCATTACAAATACAAACTGGATTATGCTTTACGATATTACAAAAAGTATTGCTTCCACAAGATCCAGGGCAAGGATCGATGCATCTTTCATTTTGACAAGCAAGATTTCCAGGGCATTCTTCATTAATAATACATTCTGGTCTACAGTTAGGCGGTCTACCAATGAAATTCGGTAAGCAAGAACAAGCTGGAACTCCATCGTTAGCTTTACATTGTGAATTTGGACCACAAAATGATGCAGAGCATGGATTTTCTGGCACACTTATTGGTGGGGATCTATTTTCAACAAGAACGCAATTGAACAAAGGATCTCCAGAGAAACCTTCTGGACAACTGCAAACTGGATTGTGATTAATAACTTGGCAGTTAGCTCCAGATCCACATGTTCCAATACATGGATCCTCACAACGTTGAGATATACAAGCTCGGTTTTGAGAGCAATCTGTACTGACTACACATTCAGGCCTACAACTTGGAGGAGTTCCAATATAGCTTATTTGACATGTACAGACAGCGTGTCCATCAACTTCTCTGCAATTACTGTATGGGCCACAAGGTGAAGGATCACATGGATTAACTGGATCCGGGCCAGCTGGATTAATTATTGGAATATGGCAAGCATTTAATGGATCTCCTGACAAACCTTCCACACAATAACAAGTCGGCTGGTGATTAAATACTTGACAAACAGCATTTAATCCACAAGCTCCAATACACGGATTCTTGCATTTGTTATTTATACAAGCTTTTGAATGTTGACAATCTGAATTTTGGGTACATTCAGGTCGACAACTAATGTAGGGATCTCCAATATATTCTGGTGGGCATGTGCAAGAACCAGCACCACTTTTTTCTGTACAAATGGCATTCAACCCACAAGGTGATGGGCTGCATGGAAGGTCAGGACTGTCTGGTATTAAAGCTGAAATTAATAAGAAACAAATCAAATAAAATTATCTATATAAATCGTTGAAAATGTAACTATACAATAGGCGTACATTTTTGAATACATCCCGAAAATGGATCTCCTTCGTATCCATCGTAACACTGACATTCAGGTCGATGATTATGCACGGAGCATTGAGCATTAAGACCACAAGATCCTATACATGGATTAGAACATTTGTTATTTTGCCCACAAGCCAAGTAACTCGGACAATCTTGATCAATTAAACATTCTGGCCGACAGTTCGGTGGAGCACCAATCATTCCTCGATTACATGCACATACTGGTCGGCTATCTTGAACACGACAAACGGCATTCGGTCCACAAGGAGATGGAACACATGGTTCAGGCCTACGCACTTCTATTGGGTAAAAAAAATAATTTAGTTTAATTTAATTTTGATAATTAAATTTTATTTTTTATATTATATAATAATTGAATAATTAAATTTAATTATTAAATTTGAAATGAATAATTGCAGTAAATTATTAAAATTGTAGTAAATTTAACGAGGTAAAAATGATATAACAATTCAAAATTACCTTCTCTAATACATTGAGTAAACGGATCACCAACAAAACCTTTTGGACAGCTACAAATTGGATTATGATTACTAACAATGCAATTAGCATTCAATCCACAAGAATCTTGACATGGATCAGTGCATTTTTGCCTAATGCAAGACAATTCCGGAGAACATTCAGAACTAACTAAACATTCAGGACGGCAAAAAGGTGGTGAGCCTCGGTATCCATCACTGCAGGAACATACAGCTCTATCTTTTTGTACCCGGCACACACTATATGGCCCACATGGGCTAGGAGAACATGGTGAAACTTCTTCTCTCGTCTTTTCCAATACACAAGACTGGAAAGGTTCTCCAGTATAACCTGGTTTACAGGAGCAGCTTGGAATGTGATTAATGACTTCGCATATAGCATTTACACCACATACTCCTTGACAAGGATCACGGCAATGTTGATTGATGCAAGCCAAATTACTATTACAATCTGAATTCATCATGCACTCAGGTCTACATCCACTGTATGGATTACCGATATAAGGTGGAATACATGTGCATTTTGGAACTCCTTCGTGCACTGTACAAAGTGCATTATTACCACAATTAAAAGAATCACATGGATTTGAAGGTTCTTGAGGAAGAGCTAATTTTAAAGTACAACCAACAAAAGCATCGCCCTCGTAACCCTGTTTACAAGAACAATATGGTGTATGATTAATTACTGTACATTCTGAATTTGGTCCACAACTATGAGGACAAGGATGAACACATTTGTACGAAACGCATGCCATTTCTATCGGACATTCTTGACTAATTAGGCACTCTGGCTTGCAGTTCGGTGGAATTCCAATAAAATTGCTTTGACATGAGCATACTGGATGCCCCATCTTTACTTGGCATACAGAGTGTGGTCCACAAGGACTTGGGTTGCATGGTTGAGTTGGTGGTTCTAGTTCTTTTCTCTCTTCTTCTTGATAACATTTGAAAAATGGATCACCAGTGCTTCCAGGTGGACACGTACAAATTGGGTTGTGATTGATAACTGAACAAAGAGCACTATGACCGCAAACGCCATTACATGGATTTACGCATTTCATGTTCACACAAGTTTGTATTTGTAAACAATCTGAGCTTACAATACATTCCGGACTGCATGCTGGAGGGATACCTCGGAAACCTGGTAAACAAGAACATGTTGCAAACTTAGATGATGAAACTGTGCATCTACTATTTGGTCCACAAGGTGATGGATCGCATGGATTTCGTAAAATAGATGGTGGATTATAACGTAATTTTTTGCAAAAAACGAATGGATTTCCTGTGAATTCTGCATCACAGTAACATACAGGAGAATGATTTATGACGTCGCAAGATGCTCCAGTGCCGCATGTCCCCTCGCAAGGATTAATGCATTTATGATTAGAACATGCTTGATTTAATTTACAGTCAGAATTTTGTAAACATTCCAAATGACAAGCTGTGTAAGGATTTCCAAAGTAATTTTGTTCGCACTGACAAGTTGTCATCCCATTTTGCTCAACACACCTAGCATTAGCTCCACAGCGTGCTGAGCTGCATAAATCATGTTCTTGCTCAACAACTTGATAGCAACCTTGATATGGATCTCCATACAAACCAGCAGGACAACTACATACTGGCGTATGATGAACTACTCGGCAGAGAGAATTTTCGCCGCAGGATCCAAGGCAAGGATCTGCACATTTCCAACCAATACAAGCCTGATCAAATGGGCATTCAGCATTACATAAACATTCAGGTCGACAGTAAGGATTATTCAAACTTCCTTGGTGATCGCAAGTACCGCACATGGCAACAGATGGTGTAAAGTCAAGACAAGAATTGGAGTCTCCACAAGGAGATGGTTCACATGGACGTGTATAGTTGTATCCACCAAAAGTAATTGATGCTATAAAATAAAAATTTAATCCTTTGTAATTATCAATCGATTGTTATTGTTAAAGCATAGAAAAAAAACTTACGTTTAATGGTACATCTAATGAATGGATTGCCAAAATAACCATCATTACACTCACACGTCGGTGTGTGATAGATACATTTGCAACGAGCATTACCGCCACAAACTGTTCCCAAATCACAAGGATTGATGCATTTAAATTGAAGACAAACTTGATCGGTAGCACAATCTGAGTTCATAGTACATTCTTGTCTGCAGCCAGTCTGTGGATCACCTTGGAAATCAGGTAAACATGAGCAAACCGCCCGCTCACTAATCACTTGGCATATAGTATTTTGTCCACAAGGACTTGGTACACATGGGTTGAGAGTATCCCGAGGCGGGCCGTATGGCTCTGAGCATCTGTACTGTGGATTACCTTCCATACCATCAGGACATCGACATATAGGATGGTGATCTTCAATGAAGCAATTAGCATTTATTCCACAAGCTCCGATACAAGCATCTTGACACCGATACCCAATACAAGCTTGATTTGCATGGCACTCATCATCTTCTATACATTCGGGCCTATCACAACCATTTGGACTGTAAGGGTCACCAGCCATACTCGGTTTACATTCGCACAAGGCTTCATTATCTCGTGAAAGTTTACATTCAGTGTTTGGTCCACATGGACTAGGTTGACATGGTGTTCTAGGAGGCTCGTGACACCCTTGATATGCGTCACCATAAAATCCATATCTACAATAACAATGTTCTTGATTGTCTGTTACGTAACAATCTGCATTTTCACCACAAGGCCCAGGTTGACATAATGTTTCCCCTAATGCTGAATTTATTACATTTTAATTAATAATTACAATAACAATGCGTTCAATCACATGGATTAAAAATAAAATATAATTATTTTATTACCTAGACAAGCTTTGTAAGGATTTCCAACAGTTCCAAAGGGGCAGATACAAGGTGGATTTCTATTACTATCACACGAAGCACCAGCTCCACAAATATTTGGTTCACAAGGATCAGTTTGAGGAACGCAACCTCTGATAGTATTTGGACTCTCGATAAATCCTGATAAACAAGTGCATTTTGAAAATCCATTTTTCAGAACCGTACATTGCGTGTTTGGTCCACATGGAGATGGATTGCATGGTTGATTTTTGATTTCACAAGGTATAACGGGTGGTTGACCCTCATAACCTGGTAAACAGAAGCATGTTGCTTGACCATCAACCACCCTACAGCCAGTGTTGTAACCACAAGGGTTATTTTGACACTGATCTCCTTCAGGAACTGTAACCATGATTATATGTATTAACATTTTTTGTTTAATAACTATTTTTATAATGTCAAAGAATTGAACTTACTACACTGATCAAAAGGATTTCCAGTTAAACCCTTTGGACAATAACATATTGGATTTCCATTATCAATTTCGCACAACGCGTTAAGACCACAAGGGCTTAAAGCGCAAGGATCGTGTAAAATTTCTCTACAAGAAATTTCAGGATTTCCATCAAATCCAACTAAACATTTACATCTAGCTTGGTGATTTTCTACGTAACATTCAGCGTTATCACCACAAGTGTCGTAAGAACAAACATTTATGCAACGTCGATTCAATCGATCACATAGTTTATTTGGTGGACAGTCTTCGTTATATTGGCACACATTTTTTGGACCCTCAACTGCGTATGAGAACAATAAGAGTAAGTTACAAGATATTTCATTTGTGCTTGAGTGTTGACTTAAATGAGTTACAACCTTTTGAGCAAAGAGAAAATCCATTTCCATGATATCCCTCTTCACAGCTACAGTCCGTACCATGATTAGTATTGAGACAAACGGCATGTGTAGTGCAAGGGTTTCTGAGTTGACACGGTTCCTGACAGACTTCGTTGATACAAGTCTCCGTCAATGGACAATCTCTATCGCTTGAACAACCAGCTAGGAAGAAAGCCAGAAAATAGCCCATATAGCCCCAAGAAATGTGCAATTACTTAAAACGCGCGTGTGTATTTAATCATAAAGAGCTCTATTTTTTATCATTTGCATTTTAAAAAAGTTCTTAATATGATTTTAATATAACATAAAACATTCCAAAAGTGCAAAATAATTGAGAAATTTGAGAATAAAAGAATATTTTTTTGCATTGCTGTGAGACGTAAAGATAAACAAGTGCTTTTTTATAATTTTATAATAATTATAAACCATTGTGTGCTTATAAACACATCGTGATTGTTCAGTGATACAATTTAAAATTGTACAATTATCGATTGTATGTACATCAATATTTACAATTACTATAGATACATATCACTGCCGATATGAATATTTATATTTCCATACCTACATGAATATGAACTCTTTACGAAAATATAGTGCCAAGTGATATTGTGCATCTACTAAACTCACCTTTCACGCAAACTTTATGTACTTCATCACATTTTGTACCAAACGGGCAGTCAGGACAATCGGTAGCATTGCGTTCTGTAGCTATAAACAAAAATTGATGAAAGTTGTTAAAAAATGTATGAGGTGAAGTTATTTTATCATAAAAAATCATAAAAATACCTTGATTGCATACGGCTCTATGAGCCTCAACAGTACAATCATCTGGATGTGTACACGGACTTCCAACGGAGCAGGGATTCAAACATTCATGGTTTATGCAAGATAGATTCAAAGGACAATCTTGATCTGCTGAGCACTTTACATCTATTGAATAAAAGTTGATTTATAATTAATTAGTATTCACTATAAACTCATTCATAATTTCTTCATGAAACCTTGAATAACAAGATGCCAAAACCGACTAAAAAGCTATATTTTTAGCATATTTTATAATATTTATAAAATATTTTTCTTCAAGCTTTATAAATTTTTTTGAAAATAATTTTTACTTTTCATTAAGTTCTGGCATTCATCAACATTCAATGTAGTTTAGTAAATTTTTCTAAAATCATCTCTGTAAAGTATGCTTTATTTATGTTGAACATAGTTAAAAAAAATAACTTTCATTAGATATTTTAACGTAAAAAAATACAAACAATTATTTAAAATAATTATTGTTGTAACAAAAATCTCTAAGTAGTGTTGTTAATTACACTGTCAGTTTTCTTGTTCTACTTAAGTATTATACATATTAAAAAAGCAGTTGTTAAAGCATTAGTTATTAGTGCAAACTAATTATCACAGTTTTAAAATTAGTTGAAGCTTACATGCAAGGATAAACAGATACAAATTTGATCATTTTGATAGTGCAACAGATGGCATGATCGCAACAATGCTGAAGGGAAGTAATTTTTTTGCACTGCAAGTATATTACACATCTAATTAACCAATAATCCGTGATTTCTATTTCAAAAAATGAACTAATTTATGTAGTCTCAAAAATTATTTTTTTCATCAGAATTAAGTAGAGGGTCAATTTTTTGCCCTTTTAATGAATAATAATAAAAATTAAGTTGTGTAGTGATAATTAAAAATTTTAATGATAATTAAAAATGAATATGTAAAATTATAGTTGTGTATAGTTATATATTTATATATATTTACATAAGTTTATATAGGACTTTTGAATGGGTGGTAGATTAAATTTAAAAATTTTTCAACGCATACGTATGAGTATACATTGCCGGTGATTTATGGATATTTATTTCAAAGGCAATCGCAAATCAGAAAGTCCTAAACAAATCACGGTAATTATCAAATATCCTATGGTTGCGAGTATCATCTGCGGTAAATTAACTGCAATTTACAAAAACACTAAAGAGATGGTTTCAAAACCTGAAAGAAGTAAATTAGAGCCAAATGGTAATATCAACGTTTCACTTATTTCTAAACTAAATAAAATGCTTAATCTATCTACTTATTCTATATTATAACTAATCAAACTATAATCTGATCAATTACATTTATTTTTTACATAATGTTATTCATTTATAGTCATCAGAAACAAATCATATTTTGAATAGGTAGTACACTTAAATTTTTATTCTCTTGTCAACTGAAAACAATTACCTGACATGAATTTTATTTTTTCTACTTGCTATATGCACAGAGTAGTCTAGAATGAATTGTTCTACCTATTCAAATTCAATGCTATTGGCATTTAAGTTTTAGACAACGATAGAAGTACCATTGGATCATATTTTAAGTTATTGTACGAGCTTAAATGATATTATATTAACGACACATAGATTGAAAGAATGAAGTGTAGATGTAGAAAGTACTATAGAACTATTTCCTCATAATTTTTTTATATATTTAATCAATAGAGCTGCGGTTGACAAGCAGTATCGATACTACATTTAGAAAATTGCATTACAATTACTGAGCTTACGACGATAAAGTACACAAAAGAACGATAAGAGTAAACAAGAGACAAGAGTAAACAGTAGACGCTGGACTACAAGAAAAAGTAATACAAAGTAGACTTAGCATAGTAAAAACAATAGTAACAACAATGAAAATAGTAGCAACAATAGCAAAAATAGTAGTACTAAACAACAATAATAATATAAAATTAATTAATGTTGATAAAACACAAAGAAGAACATAGTGAAATGCGCAAACGTAAACGTAAATTTAGCATCTAACAATTAGCTAAAATGAAAAAAATCAAAATGAGCTAAACAAGAGACAGAGATAAACAGAACTAAAGGCGGGAATTAGAGGGCTGAGCGGCTGAGAGGATTGTTTACCTTTAAGGCATCCAAACAAAGCATCAGGCACAAAGCCTGTAGGGCAAAACTTGCAGACAGCCTTATGCTCTTCAACATAGCAGGGTGCATCGGCTGGGCACGAGGCTTGTGTGCAGGGATCAATGCAGCGGTAGTTTCGGCAAGCTTGATCGGCCGAGCAACCGTTGTCTCGCAAGCAGATGGACAGCGAGGAGCTGCAGTCGTGCAGGCAAACGCAGATCGGCTTGTGATCGAGGACCTCGCAAGACTTGTCTTCGGGGCAAGGTGACTTGAGTCTGCTGCAAGGATTCTGACATTTTCCTGAGAGACAAGCCTCGTTCGACGGACAGTCGTAGTCCTTGCGGCAGTTTAGTGTGTCCGGGGCGCAGGTCAGCTCACCCAGCTCGTTAACGACGAAGCCAAACTTACAGACACACATCGGTTGGTGGCTGCGCACTTGACAGCGCTTGTTCTGATCGCAACTGTGCTTGAAATCGGCGCAAGGATCGCGGCACTCGCGCGTCTGCGAATGGCAAGCCAGACCCGACGAGCAATCAGCGTCGCGGTCGCAACCGACGCTCGGTCCCTCGGACGGACGTGGACTAATGTTGTCGCAACGCGGGTCCGGGTTGCAGGCTGTTTGAGGCACCCCAATGTAGCACTGAGGGCACGAGCAGCGCGGCCGATGCAATACCACTCGGCACAAGGCATTTATACCGCAAGCACCTCGCAGAGTGCATGGATCCAAGCACTGAGCGTTGATGCAAGCCTTCTCATTTGGACATTCTGCGTCACTTGTACATTCTTGCTCTGCACGCGTACCAGTAACATCGTAAAGTTCGACGTAATATTTTTCGTTGATTATAATTTTGATTCCAATCGTTCGATGAACGTAGACGGGTCGTCACAAGGCCGTAAAAAGTATCCAATGATCATCCGTAACAGTAGAGTTTCGTTTTCCATTTATCGATGTAACGTAGGTTTTGAGGATTCATAGGAAATATAAAAAGAATAAAAGCACTCATAAGAACTGAGAAAAGAAACGTTCTCACTACAACACTGAACCACATGCTTAATTGCGAGTAAATTATAATATGCTGAATTATGAAAGATTCAGTATTATCGAAAATCAATTCACAGAGCAGCAACTTAGTTTATACATTGCTGCATAGCAGTAAAACCATTGCAAACAGCGATATATACATCAAAGCGCCCGCTACTTCATACAGATACAGAAAGTAGATTCATGAACAATTAACTGCATTAAATACTTCAGCAATTCGTTCAAGCATGTGCATATGAGAATGTCTCTTTTACAGTTCCCAATCTGTGATTTATGTATTATGCAATGTCGATTGTAGCCCGATTATAATGTAACAACAGTAATGCTCACACGGTGCATCGTAAGCTTCGTTTATTTTTTAGCACTGAACTTAGAACTGTAACTGACATCGAGACAGATTGGATGCTGAAGTAAACATTCTGCATATATATTTATTTATATAAGTTCTTATCGTACTCATGTGTAAAACGAGTATTAGCGTGATTGATTGAATGTAGTTTATGTACAGTGGATCTTGTTTAGATTATTACTTTTTCAGTGGTCCATATATATTTTGTATGTACAATAATTTGTTCAACAATTGTCCATTTGTGATAGGTGCAAATTAAAGTTCACCTAAAAGTAACCTTAGCTCGGTTTCAATCATATCTATTCTTCATGATTCTTTGAATAATTTTCTACAATTCAATGGTTGTAAACGAAGCTATGATCAATTTTTTGACGAACAAAAATGTTTTTCAATTTATGATTTTGACTTATATATCTGTCGAAGAATGTGAATTTGGTTTTGTTTCATTTGTACAATTTCAATATTTATATATAATACATATTAAAAAAAATTTATTCACGTCAACTGCTAGTCACAATTTCTGTACAAATCCTATAAGTTAAATTGAGTATGTAATAAATTAAAATAGAGAACTCTTACCGGTTATGCACTCAACGTCTGGTGATCCGATTGTGCCCGGAGGGCATCGGCACACGAACAAAGTACCATCACGTATGCACTCGGCGTTCTTGCCGCAGCCGACTGTTCGACAATCGGGTGCAGCTTTTTCAGGCTTGCCTACGACCATAATTCATAAAAATATATATTCATTTCGACGTTTATGGCGGATCCATGCATCAATTTCATTTAAAATATTGAAAAATATTTTTGTTCAAGCGCAAAATCATAATTAATGTGTCTGGAAAAGCAAAAAGACGAGCATTAACAAAAGTATATATAGTTTGGTTTTACTCACATGCAATCTGCGGATCTCCAGACGGGTAATTTGGTGGACAATAGCACTGCGGTTGGTCTCGGTAAACACGACAAGCGGCATTTACTCCACATTGTACGTCTCTGCATATGTCGCAGAGGCATCCCTCGAAACCATCGCCCCGGCAACCAGGCTCGCAAACGCATTCGAAGCCGTTAGCTGACTCTCGACACTTGGCATTGACGCCGCACGGTTGTCTCAAGCATTCATCGTTGCCTTTTTTACAGTTAATCTTTGGATTGCCGTAATGTCCGAGTGGACAGGAGCACTCGGCGTTGCGATTGACGACTCGGCATTGCGCATTGAAACCGCAAATTCCATGTTGAAGACATGGATTTGTGCAAACGCCCGATTCGCTGCAACGTTTGTTGGGCTCGCAGTCGCTGTCGTTGTGGCATTCAAGTTGGTAACACTCTTTGCTTGGTTCACCCTGATAACCATCGGGACACAAGCAGATGGCTCGATGATTTGAGGTTCTACAAAGGGCTTTGATACCACATGGTGGTTGTTCCGATAAGCATGGATCGGTACATTGACCGTTACTACAAGACAGTGCCGACGGGCATTCGGAATGAGTTTTACAACCAACGACACAAATACCTCCATCGCACGTGTAACCCTGAAAATTTTGAGTTGATTATTAACATTTCTGGTAATTGTCATTTCTATCTAATGATCTAATTTGATGATTAATGTACCTTAGCGCATTCGTTGTTTATATCGCATTTGACTCGACATTTTCCCTCTTGGCAAAGCTCACCGCAAGAGCAATGGCTTTGCTTGGTACAGATGTTAACGCAAAATCCAGTCTCGTCGCATATACAGTTGCCATCACATGGAATTAAAGTTTTTGTGCAGCTTATCAAGGCATTGCCGTAATAATTAACCGGGCAATTGCATTGAGCAGAATGATTAATGACCCGACAGTCCGCACATTCTCCGCAAACTTTGCCACCTTCACATGGGTCTAAATAAAAAAAGTAGTATTATTATAAGCACAAACTAGGGTGAAGTGAACGTACATACTAATTGGACTTTTCTCTTACTTTTGCATTTATTGTTGATACAAGATTCACTATCTGAACAAGAGTTATCACTGCGACAGCCAATGTCGCATAATCTATTCTGGCAAATCTGATTGACTGAACACTCTTCGTCACTGTTGCAGATCGCTTTGCATAAGCCAGCCTCGCAACGTTCGTCGTTCAAACAGTTGGAATCGCTGCGACAGGTAGCGTGACACGATTTTCCATAACAGGACTGTCCGAGGGCACAGTCCGAGTCTTTGGAACAGGACAGCAGCGCTTGTTTACATCCGACGACTGGATCGCCTATGAGCTGAGCTGGACAACTGCATTGTTTGCGATGTCCAACGACTATGCAACCGGCGTTGGTGCCACAAGCGTTTGGCAGTGTACATAAATCTGAAAATGACCATTATAATCAGTCCAATGTGGCTTCGAAAGTACATTTGTAAAACTAATTAGTCAATTATTCACCTGTGCATTGATTGTTGTAACAGCTGTAATTGTCTTGACACTCGATATCGGACCTACAGCCCGATGTGCAGACTAGCCCTTCGCAGATATCTCCACTGCGGCAGTCCTCGTCTATTCGGCACAAAGCTTTGCACACTCCGGACGAATCGCAACGCTCGTTACTCAAGCAATTGGAGTTGGACGAGCAGACTGGCCTACAAGTGCCCGATATGCAAGCGTGGCCCGCTGAACAGTCTCTATTGCCTAAGCAACTTGGGCCTGGTGCCCTGAGACAAGCAATTTTGGCCGTTGGATTCGGTATGAAACCCAGGGTGCACGAGCAAGTGGCTCTTTGATTGATGACGGTACACTTGGCATTCGGTCCGCAAGGTATCACTTCGCACGGATTGACGCACTTGTTCGACAAGCAGGCCTCGTTGGCATTGCAGTCCTCGTCGCCGACGCATCCAGCCATGCAAATGTTATCGAGGCAGATGTCGCCCAAAAAGCAGTCGTTGTTAACTTTGCACGTTAATAGACAATTTCCGTTTATGCATTTCTCATTGTAAGCGCAGTCGGAATCGATGCTGCACACGGGTAAGCAAACGTTGTGTCGACAAGTGTGGTCGTCGTAGCAGTCGTTTGTATCGCTGCATGAAACTGGTACTGTAAAAACGATGCAAAATATTAGGCACGGAAACAATTACCGGAAAAACAGTTGATGAGGAAATTTATGGTGACATGATACTTACATCTGACGCACTCGAATTCCGAGTTACCAGTGAAATTTGGTGGACAACTGCAATGTTTCATGTGACTTTTGACGAGACAATGAGCATTGATACCGCATGCATTGGTCATTTTGCAAGGGTCCAAACACTCACCGTTTGAACAAATATCTGTCAAATTACATTCATCATCCGACGCGCATGGTGCTGTTAATAACCAAAAATATTCAATTAATATTTGGGTCGATTACAATTAAGGGGGAGGGGATCTTCCCTGGATTTCAAACATATTAAATTGTGTTTTTGAGCATTATAGTAAATTGTGTGAGAAAATTTGCTAAACCTAGCTTATTTTTGGTTTTTTTAGCTGAAAATTTTACTGAATAAAAATTTTTTATGTGCATAATTTATAAATTCATTTTATAATGCACTCAAAAAAATAGTTATTAAAATTATGCTCGAAATCTAGTGAACAGACCGATATTCGTGAATTCAAATCAATAATTTTACTCACGTCTGCAAACATTTTCATAACAATTTCCAACGCATTCGGCAGAGGAAGAACAATACTTCGCTGTAGGTCGGCAGCCTATAGTAACATCATATGCATCCCCTTCGTAATCAGATCGACATTGACAAGCTCCTTCGTGATTGTCAGCAATACAATCAGAATTGGGCCCGCATTTCAATTCGTTACAAGCATCGTAACATTTCATCAGGTTTTTAACTTTGATACACTTGGCGCTCAGCGGGCAATCCTCGTCTTCCAGGCATTCCCCAGGTGCATGGCAACCACCCTCCAAGGGATCACCAACCATTCCTTGTCGGCAGTAGCATTTGTAAGATCCTCGAGTATTCTCGCAAAAAGCTCCTGGTGCACAAGGTGAGTCCGCACAGTGATCTATCAAGTAACAACCGGTCTTGGGGTCTCCGGTGTGTCCTGGTTGACAGCTGCATATTTGCGCGTGGTTTTTCACCGAACATATGGCGTTTTGTCCACAAGGATTGTGAGCCAGACAAGCTATTCTGCACACGTGCATTTCGCAAATCTTTTCGTCCGAACAGTCGTTATTTGACGAGCATTCGATCGGTTGACAACCAATTTTATCATTGCTCGCTTTGCCATAATATCCTTCTTTGCACGAGCATTGAGCATTGTGATTTTTAGCCTTGCATTCGGCGTTTCGATCACAGCCAATCAAGTCGCAGGCTTTTTGACACTGAGCCTGGCCAACGTCGTTCTTAACGCACTGCTCGTCGTAATCGCAGTCGTGGTCGGTCACGCATCGAAGTTCTTGCACGCAAATGTTGTTCAAACAGTACTGGTAATCGGGACAAGTGGCATTGTGCCGGCAAATCGAATGGCACAAGCCCTTGATGCAGAGTTGGTCGCCAATGCAGTCTCTGGTACTGGTGCATAGGGCCGTGCAAATTCCGCCGTTACAGGACGAGCCCGTCGGACACTGCTGGTCGACTTTGCAATATTGAACGGGTGTGCAGCCAAGATTGGGATCGCCGGTACCTCCGGGCTGGCAGGTACAGACGAAACTGTGATTGAGCGCTTGGCAATCGGCACCGACTCCGCAGGCGTTCGGCACCGAGCAAGGATCGACGCACTTGTGATCGTAGCAAGCGCTCGATGCCTCGCACTCGCTGTGATAATTACACTCGTACTGCACGCACTCGACCCGAGGATCGCCGCTCGTTTGACCGCTGCACCTGCACACGGGCACATGATCACGCATTTGACACTCGGCGTTGCGGCCGCACGTGCCGATTATGCTGCAAGGATCACGGCAAGTGTTATCGATACAAGCTGCCGTTAATGGACAGTCAGAGTCCGTGAAACAATCGCCCGGTTGTTTGCAGCCTTGTTTGAAAGGATCGCCGACCAATCCTCGAGGACAGTTACATGTGAATGATCCATCGGTATTTTGACACCTGTAAACGAATGTTTAAAAAGTTTCAATATTTAGTAGCTGAAAAATTGAATTAAAAAAAAATCAAGTCTAACAAATATCATAAAATTTACTTACAGAGCAGTAAGGTGGCAGGGCTTTTGCAAACATTCGTTAATATCTACGCAAGTTTCATCAACGAGATGGAAACCCTCGTAACATTTACAGATTCCAATATGATTGGCAGCTATGCAGTTGCCATAGCCACAATTAATTTGGTTACAGGGACCTAAAGTAATAGCAATATTATAAAACATTCAAAGCCAAAAAAATATTGCAACACACTTTATCATCATTAACTTACTTGCACATTTATTTGTGTCACTGTTACAGTATTTATCGTTTGGACAATCATCGTTGGAAAGACATTCAACTTTGAAACATCCCGAGGCATCGCCGATGTATCCCTGTTGACATTGACAAGCCGCTACATGATTGATGACTGAGCAGACGGCGTTTGCTCCGCAATCTGCATAAGAGCAAGGATCCGAGCAATGTTGCTTTATGCACGCTTGCTTTTCAGAACAATCCGAGTCGACGTTGCACTCTTCGGGTGCATGACAACCAGACTTTACTGGATCACCGGCCGTATTTTGAGGACAAACGCAACGATACGAGCCCAATAAGTTCAAACAATTGGCTGTTGGATGGCATGGAGATGCCTCGCATTCATTTATATCCAAACACTTTTCGGGCCCAGCTATAAAGCCGTGAGCGCATCTGTTTTAATTAGAAAATAACATTATACCGTTTAGAATTATCCAAAAAGTAAAAATAACAAAACAAGGAAGTTCGATAAAAATGAGCTTACCTGCACTTATTATTTATGCACACTTCGTTAGTATTGCAACCAATATCGGAGGTACAACCTGACTCACAAATGCCATCGATGCAAAGCTCCCCAGGTAGACAATTACTATCTCCGTAACAAACTTTGTAGCAAACATTATTGCTGCATCGCTCGCCTTGGGCACACTGTTCGTGATCTTTGCATTGCAACTGACACTGACCCAGCATGCAAGTGTGATGCTTCGGACAGTCTAGTTGGCTTTTACATGCGCCTAAAACGCGTATACAGCCTTGCTGAGGAGTAGGATTAGCTTGAAAACCAGATGAACATTCGCATCTGGTAGTGTGATTTATACTACTGCACAGAGCATTTGGCCCACACACATCTCCATTTTTGCAAGGATCTTTTGACAAATATAATTGGATGAAATTAATTCTAAAAGAGGCTTTGAGATTTTTTTTTATAATATCTTACCTTTGCACTTATTAGCGATACACGATTCAGAAGAGCCACAATCGCGACTACTTCGGCAACCGAGTATGCATACGTTATTTGAGCAGGCTTGATTCAATTGACACTGATTATGATTCGTACAGGGTACAATGCATTTTTTATCAACACATTTTTCTCCCCCAGCGCAATCGGACTCAAATCGACAAACAGCTAAAATACATAAATTTATTATGGAAATAAGGCATGTACCCACAATGATGAAACATCTAGTATTTTGTTAACGAGCTGATATAAAATTTGAATAAAAAAAAAATTGTTTTACTGACGAGTTAACAAAATAATGGATGTTGAGTTATGCTATGAAAAAGTTGTAAGTTATAAGTTGAAGTGTATATGAAGTCAAAATGAAAAATATGATGACGAAGGTAAAATGAGTATGGCCGTGGACATAATTTTCACAATTAATTGCGTTATAAATATTTATAATATTATTATTATTTCAATTTATTTATTTCAAAAATGTATGTAAAAGATGAATTGAATTCAAATATTATAAATTCGGATCATAATGAATGAGTATGACGATTAGTAAAAAAATGATGGATTAATCGTGGTAAAAATAGACTTTTTGCAACATACCTGCATTAGATAAAGTAAAAGACGAATCATATATACCTCACCTTAAAACCTTACAGATCATTCATAACAATTGTAGCAGTACTTACCTCTACAATATCCATCAAGGCAAACACTATCGTCACATTCAACATCGGATGAGCACTGATTAGTCGATCTAACACATCCATCTTGTGCGCCTTTACTCGTTGGTATAAAATTACGGATACACTTGCAAATTGGTTCCCTGTTACGAATTTCGCACAAAGCGTTCGGGCCACATGCTCGATCACAAGGATCTACGCATTTGCGATTTTGACAAACGGAATGCACCGGACAGTCTCGATCCGTGGAGCATTGTCCTTTAAGCTGGCAGCCTTTGCCATCAACCGCATAAGGATCGCCCACGTGATTGGGTGAGCACTGACAAACGGGACTGTTGTTCGGTCCAACCACGCAAACGGCAGTTGAATGGCAAGGATTTGGCTCGCAAATGTCGACAGGACTGCACTCGATGTCAGCCAATGGATTGGGTCTGAAACCCGGTGGGCATTGGCAGATGGCTCTATGATCGTCAGCGATACACACAGCATTAAGACCGCAAGCGTTCTTATCGCATGCATCGTAACACTGATGTTTTTGAAGGTTGCATAACTGACTAGGAGGACAGTCAGCGTTATAGACACAAGGAACACTTCGGCAACCGTGAACCATATCGTTGGGATTACCCGCATAAGGACCAGGTGGACATTCACAATTAGCCATGTGATTGCGAACGACGCACAACGCGTTCGGCCCACAAGTAAGTAAATTACAAACAGGTTGGCAGGACAAAATTCCTTCGACGTCATTCTGTCGACAGGTTTCGGATTCAGCGCACTCGGCGTCGCTTTCGCAGCCATCGCGACGCACACTTTGGCAACCGAGTCGGTCATTGGGATTTCCAGTGAAGCCAGGTAAGCACTCGCAACGCGCTTGATGATTTTTAACAACGCAATGTGAATTTAGCGCGCAATTGAAACTCTTGCATAACGAAGTGCACTTCAACACTCCCAAAGCGTCTGGTCTGCAAGACTTACTGCTGGAGCAGTCTTTGTCGGATGAACAGTCTGGCAGCGAAGGTTTTTCGCAGATTGACGTTATTGGATTCCATTCGTAAGCATCTTGACATCGACAGGTAGCTCGACCTTTTTTGTCGACCTCGCATCTTTGGTGGATACCGCAGCTTACCTGACTACAAGGATTGAGACACTCGCTGACACCGTTGGATGCCACGAGGCAAAAGTAGCCAGGTTCGCATTCAGAATTATCACGACATGATACATCTACCGATGACTTGCCTGGTTGACAACCTTCGATGAGATTGCTTGGATTACCAGAGTAGCCATCAACGCAAAGACACGAGGACATGTGATTTTGAGTGATGCAAAATGCATTTGGGCCGCACTGCAGTTTGCTGCACCCATCGACGCATTTGCGGGTGCCTCGACCAAGTTGGAAACAGATCTCTTGTGGTTTGCAATCGAGATCATTGGCGCAATGGCCATTGGGTTGGCAACCTCGCTTTAGATCGTTGGCATTGCCTCTGTGGCCCGGTGGACACAGGCAAACGCCATCCTGACAAACGGAGCGAGGACCGCACTTGATGTTCGTGCATTTGTCGACGCAACGACCCGAAACGCAAGTGTACTGAAGCGGACAAGCTAGTTGAGGCCCGCACGGGCAGGAGGCTGGCTCTGTGCAGGCTCCCATTTCCACGCGCTGGCAGTTCACGAATGGATTGCCAAAGTGACCGTCTTTGCAGCGACAGTCATAGCTGCCAACTGTATTAATACACACTGCATTGTTGCCACATGCGTTTCCGTTACACTCGTTAATATCTGTTTTAGGAGAATGCACAAATGGACAAAATTAAACAATGATTAGTTGGAAAATGCGTAGGAGACTCATAATTATGACTTTTGGCCAGCACTGGGAACGAACTACCCATTCGTTATAGATATGGTTTGTTAGTCATTTTTTAGTTTTTGTATTAGACCTTTTTACAGCGCTTAAATTTTTTTTAATTATGAACTAATAATGTTTTTAATATTATGATACGGTAAATATCTTACGTTTATGTGAATTGTATAAATGAGCTCTAAACTCCACAATACCATGTCTAATTTTATGGGCAACTTTTCATTATCATTTCAAACTCTCTGAGAGTAACCAACGAAAAGGGCTTCTTGTTATTTACGTTTAGTGTTATGAAATTTCCTTTTATTATTACAGTTTTGCTTTTCGTCAGCTACTTCGAAAGCAACTACTTTGCCTCTTCTCGTGATAGTTCGTTACCAATTTGCCAGCTTTCAAAAGGAACACAGCCAATGCTGTGAACCGAATATTATCGATATCAATAAGGAAACACCGGGTTATAAAGCTCAAAGCCTTAGTTGATAAAGCTCGTTCAAAATACTTGCCGTAACACTGAATGTATGGATTTCCGGCGTAGCCCGCTGGACAGAGGCATTCGGGCCCCTGAGCACCCACATTACAATGGGCGTCAATGCCACAGCGAGCTGCTGAACACTTGTCGGACTTTTCTTGATAAATGCACCCAAGATATGGATTTCCATGAGTACCGTGATTACAAACGCAAGTTGACTCAGTAGCACCGTATTCACAGTGGGCGTTACGTCCGCAGTCGGGTTTACATTTTGGTGGAGATATAGCTGTATTTTGACATTTTTATCAAGTCAGAATATCAACTCACGCAATGAGATAAACAGTGTATAATTATAGATGGAATATGCAGGCAAAATTAAATTTTTCATTACTCACGTGGCATACAGAGGTAATCTGGGTTTCCAATGAAATATGGATTGCAAACGCACTTGTTAGTGTGTGGATCGCACATTGCACCTACACCGCAAAGTACACCTTCGCATCGGCACTTGCATCTTCCGCCGATGCACAAATTGGGTTCGTGACAAGGTACGTCGGGTGAGCAAACATCCGGCAAACATTGTCCACCAGGGAATGGATTTCCCATGAAACCCTCGATGCACTTACAAGTTGGTCCGTCGTAACTGACGATGCATTGAGCACCCTCGCCGCATACGTATCCATCGCACTCTGTAATAATTTTAAAAAAAGTATAATTTGATCATTTTCACTACTTTTTCGCAGATGTCTGAGATAAATTATTGATAAACTTACGAGATACACATTCGTTGTTATTATTTTCCGTGTAGCCAATGACGCAGCGACACCAAGCCGCATGTTTATCTGGTTCGCAGTAAGCGTTCGGGCCACATGGCACATCGTCACATGGATTGACGCAGCTTCCATGAACGCAAGCCAGATAATTCTCACAATCGTTGTTGGATGAACATTCCTGTTTGGCTGTCGGTGTTCCCGCGCATCCATGTCCGTAAGGATCGCCCGAGGTTCCTCTTGGACACTCGCAAACGTGACTGCCTTTAGTATTGAAGCAATAGGCACCACGTCCGCATGGGTTGTTGGCACATTCGTTGACGTCTGTGCAGCCGTATTGTGGATCACCCTCGTATCCAGCTTGGCATAAGCATTTTGGTGGATCGGATGGAGTGCATTTGGCATTCAAACCACATGGGAATCGATCGCACGGATCTAAGGAAAAATTATTCGTTAACATTTGTTTAAAAATGTTTTGTCTTTACGTTTTTCGATAAAATTAATTGAAAAGTTATGAACTCCTGAAATTACTTTTGCATGAATCCCCGTCGTAAGGATCTGTATAAAATGGTGGAGGGCATATGCACTCTCCCGGTTGAACGCATTTTTCGTTGGCTCTACATTCGTTATCATGCGAACATCGCTTCTGAGCAGGTGAGCATAGACCGTTGTAAGGATCTCCACCATAACCAGGAGGACATACACATTGATAAGAGCCCGGTTGATTGATGCATTCTGCTCCATAGCCACATACTTGTCGACCCTCAGAGCACTCATCCATGTCTGTAAAAAAGATTTTACGGAATATTTGGATTGTTTCAATGACAAACTATGCATCAAAAGTCAAAATTTCAATAACAACTGCGAAGCATACCTTCGCAAGATCCATCTTCATTTGTGCGGTATCCTTTGGGACATGCGCAGTAGCTGACACCTCCAGCGATCCTAATACATTCAGCACCTTTTGGGCATTTCTCACCCTTGGAACAGTCGGCCAATACACACTTGCCATCGACAATTTTGTAAGGTGGTTGACATTGACATTCAATACTGTTGCATTCTAAAAACGAAAACGTATATTTAATATTCGACTTTTTAAGAAATATCGAAACGTTGGTCATAGAAATGAAGCGTTACCTTCGCACAACGAAAATGGATTCCCATTGAATCCAGGAGGGCACTGACACTCGTAGCTGCCAGGTAAATTTTTGCAAATGGCATTAATTCCACAGGCAGGTTTGTCTCGAGGCTCCAAGCACTCGTTAACGTCTCGACACTTGCCGGTCTCGGAGTCCCGAGTGAAACCTCGCTGACATATGCAGACTCGACCACCGGCGAATTCGTCCTTTATGCATTGCTCGCCGGCAGGACAAGGTGTATTGGGTCCGCAAACGTGCGGCAGCCGCGATTGCTCGCAACCGCCATTGTAGGGATCGCCGATCGTGCCGCTGGGACACTGGCACGAGTACGAACCCGCCTCGTTGTTGCATACTGCACCGGCTGGGCAGGGGTTTGCCGTGCACTCGTCGATGTCACGGCATCCGTCCTTAACTCCTGGCCGGCCGGTGAAGCCAGCCTTGCAAAGACATGTCGCCACGTCGTTGAGCAGCATGCAGTGGGCATTGGGGCCACACGACAGGTCTTCGCAAGGGTCTGATACAAAAGAAATAGGAAAAATTGTTTCAATAAAGTTCGCGGGCAATGTATCTACGAGAGAAAAAAGAAATTGAGTTGAACTTACGTCTGCAATCGTTGCCCACGTTCGGCTCTGGGCACAAGCAACGCTTCTGAGCGTCGCATACGGCATTGCCCGGGCAATCGCTGTCCGAGTCGCAGGTGACAATGCCGACGCACTTAGTATAGGGATCAGGATCGGGAATCGTTTCCTCGGGGCAAGTGCAAGAGTACGAACCGTCCGTATTCGTACAAGTCGCGCCGTGCCCACACACGTCCGATCGAGAACACTCGTTTATATCTAAACATTGTTTAAGAGCATTGCCAGAGTAGCCTGACTTGCATTGGCAATTGAATCCTCCAGGCGTATTCGTGCAAAGGGCATTCTTGCCGCAACGCCCCGATGGACCGTTGATGCTCGTATCGCATTCGTTGATGTCGACGCATCCCGCTGATATATCGTTGGGATTGAATGTCCATCCGTCCTCACAAATGCAATAAGCCTCTTGACCATCTGCTTTGCAGTAGGCGTGCTCGCTACACGTGACCTCGTCACATGGTGCTGATTAACAAATAAATCACAATTTTCAGCAAATGACTGTATTTTCAGTGTTTAGTCATTGATTTTAAATGAATGTAACCTACCCTTGCACGTTACGTGTGGAGGAGTACCGATATAACCGGTTTCGCAATCGCACTTGAAACCACCTTTAGTGTTGGTGCAAACGGACGAAGGTCCGCATGGATTTGTCACACATTCGTCCACATCCTCGCAGATGGCACCGACGGCCTTAAACCCGTCTTTGCAGAAACACTGACCCTCTATGCACTCGGCATTGTTCACGCAGTCAAAGTTTGATTTACATAGCGTTGTGACGTCCGTCTAATTAATAAAGCAGTGAGCAAAGTTAATATATCATAGTAGACGAAACGGCAAACTCTATACCGATACTGTACCTGATCACAAGCTACTTGAGGACTAGGATTTGCGCTGTAGCCGGGTGGGCAATCGCACGTATAACCAGGGTCGGTATTTCTGCATATAGCATTTGCACCGCAAGGATTTTCAAGAGCTCTGCATTCGTCGATATCTTTGAAAAAATAACGAACGTTGTTATGAGAATACTAATTCATTGACAAAATTTAAGAAATTCAAAAAGATTATAGTATTAAATTGACGAGCCTGAATATTATGTAAAATATGAATGGTAAGGAAAATGGTAGAGTTATATGTGCTATGAAAGGTTAAAGTGAGCATTCTAAAATAATGAATCGTTAATGAATGATGCTAACCAATGCAGCCCTTAAATGGATCACCAGTGTAATCAGTCTTACAACTGCAAACGAAGCTGCCAATAGTGTCCGTACACTCGGCGTGCTCGCCGCATGGATTTTTCTCGCATTCGTCAATATCTGTTTTGACAGTGACACACAAAAAATTATATTTTAACTGTGAATGATGTTAAAAATGAGAATAATGAGCGGATTAGAAATGAGTTAACGCACTTTTACATTGAGTGAAACCCTGACCAACGAAACCCTGCAGGCACAGGCATTTGTATGATCCGGGTACATTGATGCACTTGGCGTTAGTCGCACATGGATTAGATTTGAGGCATTCGTTCGTGTCGATGCAACCGTGCACAAAGTCCATCTCGTAACCAGCGACGCACTCGCATTTAAAGCTACCTTGGGTGTTAACGCATTCCGAGTTAGCACCGCAGGTGGCATTTTGGTGGCACTCGTCTATATCTATACGGTGAATGACAATTTCAAGCCGATTGTTAGTCAAAATGTTGTGCGTTAATCGATCGTATCAGGAATTCGGATAAACATAGTATTAATAAACATGTGTTAGCGAATGAATAAACGAGTCGATTAAAGTTTTTATTCGTCGAAAATAACCACTTACCTCTGCAGCCAGTCATAGGATCGCCCTCCATGCCTTCTGGGCAGCCGCATGAGAAGCTACCCTTGAGATTTGTACATTGAGCCAAACGACCACAAGGACTCTTGAGACATTCGTCGACATCGACACATTCGATTTCGGGATTGCCTTCGTAGCCCTTGGGACACTCACACCTGTGATTGCCCGGTTGATTGATGCAGAGGGCGCCTCGTCCGCAGGCTCCCACATAATCGCACTCGTTCACGTCGACGCACTGTGAGTATGCATCGCCCGTGTAACCAGGGGGGCAAGCGCAGGTGTAGTTTCCAGGAGTGTTGACGCAAAGGGCTTCTGAGCCGCAGGCGTGCTGCTGTTCGTTGCACTCGTCGATGTCTTCGCAGAGAACTTCGCCGTCACCGCTGTAGCCAGGTTTGCACTTGCACAAGAAATTGGCCGGCAAGTTACAGCACTCGGCGTTTTCCACGCATCGAGCCGCGAGCGTCGGGTCTTCGCACTCGTTGATATCTACAATGCGAACGTAACTCGTTATCATCCGAGATTGGATCAAAATACCACTGCCGATTTATAGAGCTGAGGCTGCGAAAAATCCTACCTTCGCAATGGAAACCATCTCCGCGGTATCCGGGATAGCAGGAACATTGAAAACTGCCGAGAGTATTCGTGCAGTGGGCGAAAATATCACAGGGCCGGTATTTGCATTCGTTTTCGTCTGAGAAAAACATATGATAGATTATCATTTCAAATCTGAATTATTCTTATTAACATCAGAAATATGTTATACAAACCTGGAACCTGGCAATTGCAACCACCAAAACCGTCATTGCAGTGACAGACGCCATCGAGGCAAACTCCATTTTGACATGCGGCACCATCTTCTTTGGTGCAGTCGTCTAAAAAATTCATTAAAATAATTACGTGCACAAAAAATCTCTTTGAATTAGCCCCGATAAAAAAACCACAGACAATTGGTAACGTTCCCTTTAACGTATTTTAAATTCTTTGAAAAGGGACGATAAAGCCAGTCAAAATTTAATATATTTCTCTAAAATTACATTTATTTAAAAAAACTCTATGGTCCCTTAAAGTTCACTAAAATAAAGATTTTCGTAAAGCTTATTAGAAAATTTTTCATTGAAAATTCAAGAAAACAAAACAAAACAATTTAAAATTTGGTTCTTGGGCTGGGTTCTCTATCTCCTTAAAATTTTAGAGAAAAAATTTATTTTTGAATTAATCCTCATAAAATAAAAAAAGAAGCAAATGATATCACTTCAATGTAAGGTGAAGAAAAAAATGATACTTACTCGTACACTTGAGCCTGTCGCGATGTTCATCACTGCCTTGGAAGCAGTCGATGTGATTGTCGCAGAGTTTCGAAAGCTGAAGCAGTTGTAAAACATCTGTGGAGGCATTTACTTGGCAACCGAAGTAGCCATCTTCTAGGTTTAAGAAAAACACTTCTCTACCTCCTCGTCCAATCCCATTGTGAGCTTCCACCTAACAAAAGTGCGTATAATGTTGTTGTATTTTATATACTAATGAGAGATACTATATGCGAGATGAACAGCTTTTTTGAATAGTTTTTGACAAGAAAGAAATATTTAAAGTTTAAGTATAAAGCTTAAATTTCCATTTCAAGACCTGTTTCATCAAAAATACCACATTATACAAAGTGTTGGAAAAGTACTCTTTTTCCGCAAATTTTATGGAAAAAGTTCAATGAAATTAATAAGATCAAAGAATTCTGTTAACAGCTGTGAAACTGTGATTTTACAGCATTAACAATATAAAAATTTTAAATATTCAGGAATCAAATAATGTTTTTTAAATAATATAATGAACAGACATTTTTTTACTTACAAAATTTTGAGACAGCAAAAGTAACCACACGACCAGCGGCAAAAGATATTTCATTTTGTCTGTAAAAGTAAAAAAAAACGTGAGATTGGTTTGATGATATGCATGCATAATTTATGATTCATAATCAAATTATATTTAAAAGAAATTTAAATCGAATTAAAATTGTTAATTTTTGAAAATATTTGTAGGGTTGAAAAAATAAGGGTTTCTTTTCGAAGGTAAAGGCGGCTATAAGTTGTCGGGGAAATACGATTAGCATTGCGTGAACTTAGACACAAACTCATAAGGCGACAACGACACATTCGGCGTGAGAGCAACATCACGCGAACCGTTGATGCAAGAAGCAGCAGCATCAGTCGCGAGTACCGCTTGAAATAGCTATAAAGTACGCGAAAAAGGCGAAACGGTGTCTCACTGCATAAAAGTGCAAGTATGTGTATCTCTCGTGCGTGAGAGTGTGCAATACGCTTTGGAATATATTTGAGCAAAACGCGACACACAACGCGATCCTCAACCGCGACTATGTATCGTCTCGTGCTTTCTCTCGCATGAGAATTCATCTCTCTCGCTCGGCGCTTGTTCGTGTTTACGCGCGGCAATAATCGCCCGAGATATCGATGGGAACGAGGCAAGTCGTTCGCCCTGCTTCACTATGTAAGATATAACATAGTTATCGAGTGTGTGTTCTCGGATAATTTCAGAAGCAGATCTAGCGCACTAGTTTAGTGCATTTTTAACGACTCCAACTGATACTTTGGAGTTTTGAAACTGCAAACGTTGCGCTAGCCTCGACGCGAAATTCCGAGCGCAGTCGGTAACGTTCACAGTTAATTTTGCGCGATCCTTTGCGTGCGCGGGCTTCTTTTCGATCGTTTTCAATGAAGCAATCAATCGCGTGTCCGCAGACCGCCACCTTTTACCATTTTGGTTTGTTTGGCTTCTTCGATGGAACTGAAAATCAATTGTTCGAGTAAGCCCCGTGCACAGCACTGTTGCAGAGCGATACGGCGTGCGAGAGCAATTTCATTTTCACCCGGCCACTGCACACTTTATTGTCTCGTCCCGACGACGTCGGAGGGATTATACGCGAGACTCGGCATGCAGACGAGCATTAGACATCGTCCTACTTTCTTTTTTCACTGTTTTCGACGAGCTAGGCAGACAATTGCCACATTATATACTCTACGACCTACACAATTATCCTTATCAGAGAATGTAAAAGCGAAATGAAAAGCTAACGAGATCGTGAAAATAATTAAAGTCGATTGCCGTAAAGTTGACTCGAATCGCGATTGCCGAGAGCGAATTCACGATCAGCGTGCGTAAGAAATCAGTCGAAACTGGCGCGTACACGCGACAAGCTGACCGATCCAAAACTGAGCAACTCGCACCTGTGGACAGATCGCGTTGGGCCCCTCTGCGCGACAACTGTCCGCACGACCCACGCGTTATTGCCTTACAGACGCGCAAACATTCACGGCTCGCGGACGCTCTGCATACTGCAATTGGTTGCTTGCACCCTCGCGGTTCAGTGCGTGGTGGCACCGGGCTGCATACGCGCACTCGTAGGCAACGCGCCTGTACATTCTATGGAGTAATTCATTTAGGGCAGATGTTGGGGCCCCGCGCGTAATATTATATTATGATTTTTGTCACGCGTAGCTGCACGCACGGGTATCCTGTCTCACTTTTACGGTACTCGCACCCTCCCTCGCGTTTTCTACTAATTTAGATCCGTACCCACGAACACTGCTCCAAAGTAAATATTATGAGAACTACTTAATTATTTATTTATTAATATATCATTCTACATAATGAAGATTTTCATCGATTAAAATGGATTTAGTGAAACTGTACTGTGAACGGATAAAAAATTACATGCTCTCGTACCATGATTTTCGCATAAGCATGAGGAACACGCAGCTAACGAGAAAGCTAGAATGAGTTATTATTGGGTTTTGCTGTGCATTACTCGAAACAATCATGTCTACTCAGTATTGAATAATTAGTTTGCAACAACATTTTGGAACAGCAGAAAGGTACTCATTACCTGTATCAGTCTAAGACGCGAAATATATAGCTCAATTATATATAAAATATAAATACATGTAGGTCAGATATCTATAAAACACTCGTTTAAAAGGATAAAAGTCTGAAGTCACGCGTGAATTCCGTTCGAATTCTGCAGTTAAAATCGTCGAGAAATAGCGAGAGATCCTAAAAAAATCGATAAATTCTAACTTCTGCGAAAGGGAGTCGAAGAAATAGCGAACGCAAGCGAGAATTTATGCCGGCACATTCTATGCTCTCTAAGGTACTGCTCATGGTCCGCGCGCGCGAGGTCATCTTTAATCATTTTCGTCTCGCCCATGATGAGCAGCAGCATCATCATCATCATTCGAGCGATATAATATGCAGTGCAAGTTTATGCGCCGGTATCAGCTCGCCTATTGCCAAAGACAAGAGAGTTAAATTGAGCCTTGGCAGAGGGAGAGAGTCGTTGGCAGAGCGTAGAGGGTAGAGGCAGAGTGAGATAGAGCAAGAAAGCGAGGAAAATAAAGCATCTCGTAGCGGGAGTAATAACGGCGTGGCTAGCCAGTCGTTTGGCCATTGGAACCCCGTAATTACGTTAGACCGACGAAGGAAATGAGGCGGCACCGCAGCAACAACGGCCGCCTGCGCTATGCTTCGCCTCGGCTCGGCTCTCGGCTCGCTTCGACGGGAGCTATATAAGCACGCTAATAATCGCTCAAGGTCACCAGAAATTCATACCTAAGATAGCCGGCAACAGCTTTATTCTTTTTCGTCATTATAGACGTATAGCGCAACGTTGATGCACTCTTAGGCCAACACCTTTCTTAAAAATACTTTCATGTCTTTGAAAGAGATATTTTTAATGTTCTCATATAACGTTGTATTACTTTTATTCCCTATTCAATGAGCGTTTCGTTATCCATATAAGATTTTATTGTTGTAACAAGAAGTGTTAAAAATTGCACGACAAATGAGGTATGAAAACTTTCAAAGCAATTTTTATCAACACCCCGCGCGCGCGTGGCCACAAAAACCGAAGACGCTTTCTTTTCTCTCTCTCGCGTTAAATTGCAAAAGAAGCATGCAAATACGAGTAATTGCAGATGCGGTGCGCAGTGCTTTGTGCAATGACGTATTAAGAAAAAAAAAGCTGAAGAAAAAGAAAAAAGAATACCGATGCTCGATAGCTCATTCGCAGCTCGAGTCAAACGAGTTTCGTAGTCCACTGCACGCTACACGTACGCCATACAACACGTTCCATATTTAGCTGCGCGTTAACTGCACTTAACGCCACTCCGAAACTCGATAGTATATGAGCAAAGCGTATCACGCGATCGTAACTCGAGTCCACGTTAATTTATACACAAAGTTTAACTGACATTTTAAAGGCGAGTTGAGTTTCTATGATTATGTCAAGATTCGCATTCGCGTCGACGATCGATGGTAATTGAAATCGATCGATCAAATCGTGCTTTGCAGACGTACATAGGTTGAGCAAGCAGATTTAGGTTTCTTTGTGATAAACATGTCAATCGGCAAAGCGACAAATAGATTTCGACGAGGTATTGACTTGATACAGAACCTCGAGTTCGGGAACAACAGATCGACTTGTGCAAACAGAAGTCAATAGTTTAGGAGCAAGAGCGTATGCATATCACAGTTTCACGCTCAAGTAAAAATATGCAATTGGAAACCAACGCCATGGAATAACTATATACTCAAGTACTCGTACGTTCATGAATTATATTATATGCTGGCACTGAAAATCACGGGTACAAAGCGCACTAATACACAAGTTATATACGCACCTGTTGACCGGATCTATTTACACGTTATGGCTTGGCAAAAGTTTTGACCACGCGCTCGTCTCAACTTTCTTCTGCTCTCATCGATTAATGTAGGTCATTTTTTTCATCTTGGGCTCTAACTCACGCAGAGAGAGAAAGAGAGAGAGAGAGATCACAATAAAAACGCAGTTCAGCTCTCGCGGATCTTATTGCCGAGCCGTGTATCATGATTATTCAAATTGAAAAATTATTCTCTTCTCCTCTCGCATGACGAGGTTGTGGTCAGCGCCTGTATCTTACGGGCGGCTTATACGCCGATCACGATGCGCGCTCGAGGAGCGATGGTAATATCGGGAGGAAAAGACGCGTAAGAATACGATTCGGGCTCAATGATTGTACACAATGCTGGAATGAAAGCCCATCAAATTGTGCATTGTTTTAGATAACAAAGGTACGTGAATGGACGCGCATGATGCGAAGCTCGCGCGCAACGTGTATACCGCGGCGGAAAACCTACGTCGAGAGTGAGTGTATAAACACACATATGTGCGCATAAAATATATGGAGGCTATACGTAATATAGGCAGTGAGGCAAGGTCGCCGCTAAATAAACAAGTCCCACGCGCCAAAGAAACGTAAGTATTTAGCATATAAGATATCTTGAGGCTAGACGCGCATCGGTCGTATAATTCTACATATGCAGAACAAAAGAGAGTAGGCGCACTTATGAATCGAGCGGACGCACTATTTAGTCGAGAGTTTATGTAATAAAGCCGCGACGCATTACACGGACTGCATCCACGAGCGATCGATCGAAAGATGATCGAATGTCAGCGGCAAATCGATCTCTGCGCTACAAGTCGGAGTACATATAGCGACAGCGAGAGCAGCAGCAGGCGTGTCGCGTTACGCTTCGAGTCGAGATGTCCATACTTGGCCAAGATCCCGTGACATGATTCGCAATAACGTATACATGCGGCGTTCACTTCTCTCTCGATTCTCACTTGCGAGCCGCTTCTCTTTCTCATTAGCATCGCAGCGGCGCGCGTGTGGTACATTGTCGCAACTTATAAATGAAAAACACGAACGGCAGCAAAAAACAAAAACGCTTTTCTTTTTCCAATCGGCGCCCGATCGATCTCTATATATACAGCAACTCTCATCTTAGCGTTTTCACACTTTTTCGCCTCGATCGCGACTCTCCGATGGCTAATCGTATATAAATCCAAACGA